AAATTATTGCACCCAATATTAACATGAATATCAAGTGTAAAACTTTTTTAATAATACGAAGTGAAGCCATTAATCACGTTTAAACATCTCTTTTCACAGATAATCTATTAAGTAAAATTATACAGTATTGTCTAGTTATTATCTCCTTAAAAAAATCCAATCTTAATTTTGTTATGTATCCACAGAAGAAAAGAGTAATAAAGCAATATGGCGAAAGGACAGTGGAACCCCTTTATGAGGCTGGTAATAAGAGGGGACCAACATTGCCTTGTAGGCTAACCATGTTATAGAAGATAATTAGACTTGCAAAATAGCTAATTCTGGATAATACCAAGCCATAGTATAAGGGGATTCTATGATAAACAAAGAGTCTAATGAAAGGGAAAACGTTATTTTCCTAAGTAGTGATATAATGCTTGGCAAATTGATTTGGTTTGATTTTAAAATGTACAAGAGGTGAAAAATCATTTAACTTCCCTCAAAATCATGCATACATTAAAAAAATACATTCTGGGATACAAATCACAATAAACAGTTGCTATAATTTAAATTCATACCTTAAAATTAATATGTATAATAATTAGGCATAAAGATAAAGAACTCTATACATATAATACCAACGGGGGAAAGATCTACATAAGACTGAAAAAATTAGTCACAAATCACCTGGAGAGCGTACAAGTGAATGTAACTTATATGTAAAATTTTAATTTTTAAGACACATTAGAAATACCTCCGTATTTAATACAGTATGAAAGGTACTAAGTAGGTATACAATGCTTTTGCATGGTACTACTACTGGATAATATTGTCACACAGTTCATTATTGATCTGATTTTTCACCTAGCTTATCCCAGGCTTTAACAATCTGAAGACCAGTTTCCTTCAAGATTTCAATGCCTACACTTCAATAACAATGCTAGTACAACAGTTAGTGTTTCCCCCCTTGTATTATTTGCAAAAAATAATTCAAGAAGCAAAGCTGTGTGTATTTTAAGGTACTACTGAAGGAAGGATTTAAATTGCAGTTATGCATGATACACTCTTCTCTTGGGAAGAATGTTTTTGCACCGTTATCTGTTAATACATTCAATATGAATAATATAAACTATATAAAGCAAAAATAACCAAAACCTTTTTTTTCCTTTATGGCAAAGTATTTTCATTAAATTTAAACTAAAGGGCTTAAGACAATTAAATTCTGCCATTTCAGTTATGCAGGGAATTTAATACAGGACAGAAAATTTCCACTTTCCTATCTTCAGGGTTTAAAGAAAAGGACCAAATTAAATTCACTTTCAAGGTAAACCTACATGCAAAAGCCTGCCAGGAGGGATTTATACCAACTAGTCTGCCAGAATAAAGACAGGAAAATCAGACTAAATGGAAAAATTCTTCATGAAATACACTAACAAAGAATGTAAGTGTAATGACCCTTTATAAGCATATGCCACCAAAGCAAACAGGATACAAGAGTATTCACCTGAGATAAAACTTGTATCTGAATATTTTGTAACTGAGTAGACAAAGCATTTCAATAGAGGAAAGTCAGCTGAAATTATTTTAAAATATACATCTGATACTATTTTACAATATATGCAATTTAAGCAATTCAGATCAATGAAAAAGTCTTAACAAAAAAATCACAGTGTTTATCAATGTCAATTACAAAATGTATGCTACTTATTTTGTTTTTAAAGATGTAATGGCTTGGTTAAGTGTTTTTAAATCTATTCTTCTGAAATCTAACTTGCGTCACAAAATCAAGTAGCAAGAAATGTAAAGCATCAGAACTGGCTCTTAAAGGTTATTTACATGTTGATTATTTGGGAAATAATCAACCAAAAAAATATAAAAAAGTGATTTTTTTTTACATAGTATGAAGTTATTAAAGAGATTAGACAATACAAAAAGCAAAATTTTTCCTGAATAAATGAGTATCTGTGGCACTAAGTTTACTTACTAATGGACTAAAACATGGAACTGCCAAACATGCATTTAAATTATATTAAATACACTTTCTGTTTCCAACTTAGGTTGATCAGCAGCTTTTGTTCTGTTAGAATCCTTCAAAGAGAGAAGCTCGAACAGGAAAAAGAAGGCATATATAAAACAGTAAACACTGACCTCCTGAGGTTCCTACAACATAAAAATATTCAAGTAGAAAATCTACATCACTTAGCAGCGGCTATGTCTGTAGTTGAGCACACTAACAGCACTTTAGTGTGTAAGGAGCAGATGAAGTAAGCCGTGCTTTAAGCATGCCAAGAGGCAGAAACACTGGAATGTAACAAAGACAAACTCACAATTTCAGACATTCAGTCAACATTCAAAACTATTAAGACTATACCACAAGGATTAAGTTGCTTTTATATATATATATATATATATATATCCCATGATGCATTGTTTTATCAGAACAATAAATGCTAAATCAGAGCTTACCTCAAAAGAACTTAAATGGCTTCTGCAAATTCCTATGCTATACTAAGTATCTGAAATATAAATTCGGAAAACAATACCTCAAGAGGAGGAGGGAGTAATTAAAACAAACAAAAACTCAACCCAATCTCAGGTTGCCAGTTATATTTACTTAATTTTATTTTCTATTTTTAAATTAAATTTCCTTTTAACTTAAAAACAGGTTAAGTGATCACCAAATGAGCATATTTTTGTGACATATCTAACTGAAAACCAATTTTTAATCAAACAGGTGACAATATTGCTTTTCCAGTCAACAAAGAATCACAAGTCCAAATAACTTTACTGTTGTTTTTATGTTTGTTTTAAAGTGTTTAGAGAGGAATTTTGCCATATTCTTTCAATTTAAAATATTTATTACCTATTCTAAAATATTAAAATATCTCCCATATTAAATTCAGAAAAGTATTTAAAAAAAAAACCCTGGAGAATATCACTAGATTTAAAGATAAAATAGCTACCCCAATCAGGTTTTAATCACTAACTAGGAAGCAGATTTTGAGCTCCCAGTGAAACAATGGTACTAGAAAGAGAAAAATGCTACATACCCTTTGGATCCAACTTATAATTTAAAAAAAATTGGATAAGAAAATATTTAATTTCAGGCTCTAAAGACTGAAATTTGCAAAGCCAAAGTACAGGAAAGAAGATGAAAGAACATGTTAAAAAAAATACACACACACACACACACACACAACACACACAACACAAACCTTTCTGCATGCTACCATGCATTTGAAAATTTTTAAAACGGTATTTATAAATTCAGACACATACAGCTCAAACTTCAGTGCAATGGCTGTATCATTCAACACCTTTAGAAGAACAGAACCATGCAAAGAGGAGCAACTGCTTATAAAAATGGTTATTTAGTATTTATTCTGCAATGCAAAGGTGACAAACTAAAATATAAAAAGGTTGTTATGGCTTAACATTTTTGTTGCAGATTAAATATGCAGCATTGAAAAATGGAAAGGTGTGGCTTCATCTCTGACCAGCAGAGTTAAAAAGAAAAATCTCTCCATTTTCCTTCATCATCATGGGATACACTGTTCAGGCAATCCAAATTAATAAAGACTTGCACTTTATATGGAGACAAGATCAAGTGTACCAGTTAGGATTTCACATTCACAGTATATAAGAAAATACACATGGAAGGAAAAGTAAAGGGTTAACTTAACAAGGATTTATTCACAGAAATACATGTAAGTAGAGAAAAATAACAGAAAAGCTAAACAAATGAAATGAAGAGGATCCAAATCAACTTTCACTCTGTAGCTTTTTACTTGCACCCTGTGTGCATATATCTAGGGCACAGAGGGCCACCAACATGCGCCAATACAGTGTAGGAACCCTGCATTACATCCATTAACTTAAACATATCTTTAAGATCATGCTTTGAACAAAAAAAAGCTTAGAAGGCAATATGTTGAGTGGGAATAAACATTGAAATATAGCAATCATGTCTTTAACTTCTACAATTGTCTTTATGTGCCAACTAACATTTATGCAGCCTCTTACAGATCTTTTACCATGTAATTTAAGTTTTAGAAGTTTGATAAAATCACTAGTAGTATATAACCATGCAGAAAGCACATCACACTGACAGCACAGAGGCAAAGATTTTGCACAGGTATATCAGCTTTCCACATTGTGCAGGTTACACACAATACAATATCAATCTTATTCCTAACAGATCCTAAAAAGATATCTCAAGGCCTAGCTGTAAACTACAGTACTTTATATATCTATATTCTTAATAAAAATAAAATCCACAAATCTTAAAAAGGAATTTTAAATGCAGGGCTATATTGAACTGGTAAACTGCAACACAAACTGGCGCAACAGAGGTAAATGAATACCAATCTCACTCTACGTGATGCAAGCATGCTACTTACTTTCCCACTAATTAACTTTCAATCACTATGAGCCAGAATGCATGCCTGAACCTTAAACTGCACTTTAAAATTAACGTCTTGGCCTAGAAATTAAATCTAATGAAGTACAACCATCAAATTATATCCACTACATTAATGTTTTAATGCAAAATCAAGAGTTCAATCTTTAGTTTGATATGTCCAACCCCATTTATTCCTCCCTCCCTGCCCACCCCACAAAGGTAAAAGGAGTGACTCATTTGGCATTTCACAGGGTGCTTCGTTGTTTAAATTATTTTTTTTATTTCCAACTTTTTTTTGGGGTACCTTAAATTGTAACTTCCAAGAACCTGCTTCTCCTATGGGTCAGCAAGCTGATTTTAATTCTATTAGCTTCATTTGTGTAGTTCTTTATCAGCATGCAAAAACAAGGCCCCATTGTGTGGGAAAATTTATAAAAACCTTTAAATAATAAAAAAAGCTTCTTTACTGTTTGTAATCCCCATTCTTAGGTTTCCTTTATTGTGCGCTATAGAAATTTTCCTCTTTTATCCCTATGCATCATTTATATGGTTCTTGTTTTGGTACAATTCCCCATAATATTCCAGAATGTACTGTTTTGTGAGTAGACTGAATAGGTTCTTTTTTTTTTGCTTCTTCACATCCAGTGCGGAGTTGTAACTGAAGACAGATTTCCACCCACAAAGGCTCCAGATGTTAAAACGTTTCCCAACATCGACTTAATACAGTGACGGCAACACCTCCCTCCCGCCCCTCCCAGTAGGGTTGGGATTGTACTGTATTCCCTACTGGTTTACCCTTCCCCCCTGTAAAGGGTAACATTTTCCCTGGGTGCAGAGGCTTCCTCACAGTCTCCAAGACTGAAGGACCTATAAGAAAAGAAAACAATTTTATAGTTTGACAACTGTCTCTCTTTTAAAGTCAGTGGACCACAAAATCAATCAAGTAAGGATGACATGTCTACCTAAATAAAATAAGAAATTGGACAAATAGCTTAAGATAATGCTAATCAATGAGAATCATGTTGTTTCCTTACAGGGCAAAAAAGGAATAGCTGAAGCAATGTTAAGTAATCTAACTAGTATACCAGCTTGAGATTTCTTTCTATCAAGGATTCAAAGTGGAACCATGCATTTTTATCTTTCTTTATATAGCTCTCAACTGCCACCTGTACCAGAATACAAAAAGTGACCCTGAGCTGGAGACATGCATAGAGAGATGTATAGCAATTTATATATAGATGAAATATACACAAAATGCACCTTGTAGGATGCTATCAGTCTAATTCTTTACCTCCTTTTGCATGAGTGACGAGAACCAGTTATTTCTTACATAGTAAGTTGTCTTACTTTCTTCAAAATTAAATGCACCTTCTTTAGGACAATCACTCTCCTTAGAATTACAACTCACCTTTTTTTGCGAGTATTCCCAATATAAAGCAAACAAAAATCCAATCAGTAAAAAAAAAACAAAAGCAAAAAACCCCTCAAAGTGCATTACTTATTTTTGGTTGCCTGATATTTTCACTTAAGAGGTACTAAAGATGTCCACTACACTTCAGCAAATATCAAAAAGTTAATTAACACTTGACTTCTTGATGCTCTTAATTAATAATTCTTCCAACCCTATTTTACTCAGTCATTTCCTTTACTCTCAGGACTCTTGATTTTGCCGATAAGGACTTTGTAAATGGTAGCAATTTAATGATGAAAATGACATAAAAAAAATAAAGGTAAATTACTGGGAGACTGTAACTAGTACCTGACAGTAGAATTTTCACAACAAGACTACTAACCACTCATGCCAAACTTCGAACATTTATGAAGGTTCATGTGAATTCACAGAGGGTGATCAGCCCATCTGTGGAGAAGTACAAGCAACCCCTTTTCTCTGCCTCTGAAAAGAGGGAATACTACAAAAAAAGGCAGGAAAAGTTATGAATCAACTTTTATCTCTAATTAGAAAACTGAGAATTACTACATACCTTGTCTTAGAACATGGTCACCAAGTTAATTCATAATTGGTGATGTGACAGAGACAACAGAAGGTAATAATTCTGAGAGTGCCTTAGACTTAGCTCATGGTTGAATCTTTTGGCATTTGATGCTAAAAGTCTTTCTCATCTATTGCACGCTCATGATTTAACAAGTGAATCAAGCACTTTTCCAAAATGCTAAGGCCATAAAACAGCTATTAGGACTCAAGACCACAGTGGGACAGCACACACAAAGGGCTCTGAGACATTCCAGAGGCTGCAAGTATATTTCTGCTGTCTTCTAGGTTAATTAGACAACTCAGATTTTGAAATCTTTCCAGGTTTAAAATCTAGCTCAGAGTAAACAAGCAAGCAAACAAAACTCCAACATAAAAGGTAATTCAATTGGCTATACAACTGCTGGACACACACTGAGTACATTCCCTGGCCTCCTAGTCAAATGTGTCTCAGTTTATGTTTAAAACCTAAAGAAGCATAACCGTTGGCCCACGGTACTTGTACTGACCCATGTTCCTAATTTATTGAACCAACTTAGTGTGTTAGGCAATCTACCCAATTTTAGTGTCACAATAGTACAGCATTTAATACTCAAAAGAATTCAATGAAGGAAATGAGGCTAAGAGACTAGAATTGTTAGTTCGACTTAACAACTTTAGAAAATCCCAAGAAGAGTCCCAGTGGACTTACCCGTCTATCACCCCAAATCAAAACAATCTTCCATTGCCATTTTAAAAAACAGTGCTGGGCCCGTGGTAGGTGTTCAACAAAAATGAATGTTGAAGATTGAATACAAAATATTCTTAGCTACTGAGCCAAAACCCACTTCCAATTCTACTTGGGGTTTCCCTAAAACTCCCTACATAGAAAGTCCTTGATATATCAAAAACTATAAATTCATGATTTAAAACTAAACCATTTCTACACTCTGGTGATCTCTTTTTTTTTTGGTACGTGCCCCTAGTGGGAACCGAACCTGGGACTCTCTGGTCCGCAGGCCGATGCTCCAACTGCTGAGCCAAACCAGCCAGGGCTCTGGTGATCTCTTGCAGGGCAAAAAAGGAATAGTAGAAGCAATACTAAGTAATCTAATTAGCATACCAGCTTGGGATTTCTTTCTATCTAGGATTCAAAGTGGAACCCTGCATTTTTATTATGCTTGATGGTTCTCCAAAAACCCCTACTTTACATAATTGAAAATTTAAAGTCCAATATAGCATGAGATTGTTTTATTCAACCACTGTAGAAAATAAATAGCTCTATCCTACTCAGTAGTTTTAGATTGGAACCCTAAATTTCTTCATCCTAAAAAATTCCAAACTTCTTACAACTTACCCCTAATTATGGGACTGCAGCTTAAGTGCATGAGGTTAAACACCATAAAAAGCTGCAAGACGCTCTTTTAAGGGAGGCGGAAACTGGTCAGAGAAACGCCTCCAATTTTCATCCCCAACTTGATTTTTAAATCCATGAAGAATCTGTAAAGAGTAAAAAACTAATTAATTTATCAATAACAAAAGACAAAAACTCAGATATGCATAGCTTCAGAAATCAAACTATTGATGTTATTAATACTTATGAAAAACAAACAAAAAAGTATAGAATTCACCCAAAGGAATAGTTTTATGCCATACTAAATTTTTTCAAGTTGGAAATATAGAATGCTTTGGGTTCCTGGCTTTAACTATAGTTCATTAATTTTATTATTCGACGATTCAAATGTGTAGCAGCATTTTACTTCTTATTTTGTTATGGTTGAGTTAATCAAAAGGGGGCACTACTGAAACAAATATCTGTAAGATTTAATTCCTGTGAAGACCACTTAAGATTTATTTTGTTCCAAGTTTATATTATACTCTAAATCTCAGTCAGCTGTCTGTGAAAATATATGCTAATTTGCAAAGGTGGATAATGAGGTCACATGTATCAGTGGTACTGGTTGAAATTATATTTTCAAAGTGTATGCTCTATTGATAGAATCACTGTTGTATCTTAAGGAAAGATCAAGCCAACATTTTATTGAGAACAAAGGTTATAGGTTATATAGTCTACCAATATTGATTTGAAGAGTCTAGTTTCATATGAAATATAAACATAATTTAAACTTTCCAACAAGGACTGTAATAGTCCCACAATGTGTATCATTAAAGCCATTTTAGTTACCTTACAGAACATGTCTCTCAGATCATCTTTTGGGTTAATCCATGATGCAACAGCATCACAAAAAAATATAAAATCCTGTAACAAGCAAGAAACAGATTTTAGATTGATATATTTGTTAAACACATGAAAAAAAAAAATTAAACTTCAGACTATACTGTGATAGAATCCTTGCCAAAATTTTTTTTAGAAAATCAACTATGATCATAAAAATTATAAGTGAATTTCTTAATGGTGTCCTTATTACTATACCATGAAGGAACCTTTACTCATTCAGTTTATATTGGAATTTAATGCCCTTTTATGTTTAATTCACATCACGAAACAAAATCCCTGTCTAGTAAATGTTTAACATCAGCAATGGCCTGAAAGTACCAAATGAGCATCAGTTAAAAAAAAACCACTTTCATTTACAGGACTAAAGAATGCCATAAATCCAATAATATTACAGTACTAAGTAGCCTAAAAATAACTTCAAGTTAAAAGTATATAATAAGCTTGATTTGATGTATAGCAATTAATAGATCTAAATTTTAAGACTCATTTTCAGAAAGAAACTTAAATAAAATGGCAAAAGTTAGAAAAACTAATAATTATGTAGCTACAAATAACACCTAACCCAACCAAATTCAAAACAAACAAATCAACCCAATGCTTAGACAATTAATTATTTAAGATAATCAGGTTATTCTGACTATAAGAACAAAGCAACAGTGGGCATATGATTTATTACATTGAAAAATTTCAAGATACAACATTTAAGATATAGCTGATGTCCTGACATGTCAGCTACTTTAAATACACATACACACCTCTAGAATTTGTCATTAAAAATTTAAACATAAAAAAAAACACCTTAAGATACTTTCTTTTAACTATATCCAAATACATTATGTAAAAAGTAGAAAGTTCTACCAATTCTTAAGTTGGTAGTGATTTCATGATCATATACATACATGTTACTTCAAACATATACATACATGTTACTTCAAATATTAATTCAAGGGGTGGGGGGGGAGTAACTCAATCCCAGTGGGAAAATGCTCCTTTAAAACACAGTCGACATCATATGTATGATACCTCTAAAACACATTTAAAGTGATACAAAGTTCTTAAATATTGAAGAAAGAAGGGAGGGAGGGAGGGAGGGAGGGAGGAAGGAAGGAAGGAAGGGAGGGAGGGAGGAAGGAACAGAAAAAGAAACTTAATGCCAGTAGGTTATTTTGCAACTAGGGACCATCTCTAAAGATAGTATTGGCTCATTTTAATAGTAAGTTATTAACATTTTACAAATGTGAAATTAGGTGAAAGATTTTTTCAGTTCTAATTTGTACGTTTTCATGGCCAATCACTTACATTAACCTGAATTTTATTAACAGGTAATGCAATACATAATGTTTCTAAACCTAAATTAAACAATACAGTAATTAATACAAGACATACAATATCAAAAGGCCCCAATTTAAAAAATGTTCAAAGCACCCATCTCTTGGAAGTGAGACGTCCTTTTCTTGAAAACCCTGTCCATACTTCTACACTACAATTTATTGAGGAACCTGGGACTTCTTTCAAATTAATGTATTTATTTTTGTTACAGATGTATCCTCCCCCTAAGAGACGCCCCTCTCCCTATTCCTACCCCCCCCACATTGTTATCTATGTCCACTGGTTACGCATACATGCATACAAGTCCTTTGGTTTATCTCATGTCTCCCTCCTCTGAGGTTTGTCAGTCTGAACCAAACTCCTTTCTATGTCTCTGGGTCTGTTTTGTTCATCAGCTTTTTTGTTCGTTATATTCCACAAATAAGTGAGATCATGTGGTATTTGTTTTTCTCTGGAGGAACCTGGGACTTTTAACTGGGAGTTTCACAACTTGCATTTTGAGGATTTCATATTCATGGTGTCAATCAACAAGTTTTTGTTTGTGTGTCTTGCAAATTTGCGGTTGGATCCAGAGGTTTGGTCAGATTCATGCTTGATACTACCGCCAGATAATTTTTTTTTTTAATGGTAAAAATGTCTAAATATAATACAAACTAAGACAGGAAACAAAATAAGGATAAATATATCATAAGCTCTCAAAATTAAAGCAGTTTCAATGGCTGATTCAGTATTCTATTTTACTCCCTCAGTTTGTAAGTTTGATTCTAAGTAACTGGAAGGGTACCTTGTATTTGGTTACTCTCTTAAGTGTAGCTATCTTAACCTCAACAAATTGATATTGAGAAGTAAATAAAGGAGGTCTAAAGGTAAATGAATGAAGTTTTGGCTTAATTCAATACAAGAAGGAAACTTTATTTTCCTAATTTGCTACTACTATTATCTCCTGACAAAAATAAAAAAGATGTAGGAAATAAAAAACAGGCATGGTCATTTCAAAATTGTTAGAAATTATACATTTTAAATATATAGTTTGTTTTAGTATATTTGAAAAAATATGCAATATATGGAATATTTTTTATAATAAGAGTATTAAAATATTTCATCCCTTTCAAGTTTCATTATTTAGAATATTAAAAATTAAGAACAAATTTTTATGAACGTCTTACTTGGATTACTCCACTGGGATTCACACTGATCATGGTACAAATTCCACGAAATGCTGAATCCTTTTCCTCATTGTCCCTTATGTTTCTCAGAGAGGTGCACCTAATAAATTACAGAATTGAGTTTAACATTTAAAGTAAGAAGCAAGTTAAATTACAATACTAATGGACAGTATTTAATGGAATAAGCATCACAGTATGTTTATATTCAAAGAATTTTCATAAAGCTTAAGTTTCTCACACTTCCTGTATGTGGGCCCATGTACTCTAAAATAGCAAAAGCCTTGAAATTCATATTTTCTTATTAATAGATTGCATCTATGAAATGGACAATTGATTTTAATCTACCATAACTATTAATGAGCTTGAGCCAAGAGTAAATCACCAATTTAAAAAACTGCATTATGACTTGTATTCCATTAAACACTACTAAAAATGACTTGAATTGAAAGATTATCAACTGAGAGAAGCAGAACATAGGATATACTGCCACAATATAAACTATTATTTTAGAACTTATGGTGTAAATGTTTAACTTTTACATTAACAAGCAAGTAAGATTTTTATACATAACAAATTTAAACATGTATTTCTTAATGCAATCCAAGTTTTCAAATTAATTCTAAAAAAGAAACAATGCAAAAACCTAAATTTATAGAATTTGCATGCATCTTTATTTTACTGGTGGATATTTAAATGGTTTTTATGTGTAATCAAGCTTTTTAACACAGCAAGCATGTGACAATCTTATCCCATGCATCAATTAGTCGTTAGCCACAACATAAAATAAATATACATGACGATGCTACTGAAAACCTCACAAACCTGATAGGACAAGATTAGTCACATGGTTGGCAATGATTAAGGATTGTGATTTTTGTAACCAACTGAAAATATATCTAAAAGTGAGATAGAAAGAGAAAGAAAGAGTGAAGAAAAATGAATTAAAAAAAAAGATTGAATAATACACACCAGGGTCTTATAAACTGCTGTAGCATGGGGGCCACCTCTTGAGGACAAACGTAACCAAGACGACCAATTGTTATTGCTAAGGTAACGCAATCACGGTTATACACCACCAAACGCCAACCAAGACATGAGCAAATGAGGGGGAAGGAGAAAAAATAAAGAAAAAACAACAAATAACTCAGAAACAGAAACCAACAGAATTTGTGTATGATAATAAACATAAGATTTCACCAGTGCTGTTTATTACCACCCCCTAAAATAAGGGGCAGCAACATATATGGCATACTCTTGAAAAAGGAAAAACAAAAGGAATTAAAAAAACTTTAAAGATTGAGAGAACACCAAAAACCATGAATTGCTTTTTCCGCTCAATGAAGTGTCAATAAATCATACTTCGTTAATAAAAAGATGAGCGATTAAATGGATTTAGAAATTCTTCAGTCTAAGCCAGTTGAAATTTCAGAATTTAATAATGAAATCTATGTTTTTTCCCCAAGAAATATTAGTAAATGTGAATGATTACATTTCTGAATCGTCTACTCACACACACTTCTCAGTTAAAACAGTTATAATTTCTTTCTCACTTCTCCAGATCTCTTTTTATGTGATTTCTATTAAAATTATCTAGGAATTTAATCCAAATTTTGGGTATAGCTTTTTTTTGTTTGTTAACATTTCCAAAAAAAAATCGATCATTTGCCTGCTATCAAAATCAACTGTCAAATTTTAGATGTTATGGTACACACTGAATAGATCGAAAAATTGCTGTGCTATGTCAAATCCCATTCCAAAACCCTCTAAATGGTGATGGTAATTCAGATAATAGTACACCAATTTCAGGCCATGTTTGACATAAAGGAAATTCAGAGAGTCCACTGTAATGACATGTGATATGTGGACCAAAGGAACAAATATTCTGTCTTTGTTATAAAAAGCATAGCACAATAGATAAACATTGTACTGATTACATGCTAATATTCTATATAAAATGGGAATTAATCAAATATATATTCACCATCCAAATTCAGGAAGTCCTTAAACTTAAAAGGGCTAAAACAAGTGCAACTCAGAACTGCATTCTGCAATTCAAAGGTACATACATATAAATACATTTATACACAACGGGGGAAAAATACAAACAGAAAACAAACCATGAAGTGCTTTAATGGTGTTCTCTCAAAAACTTACAGGTTAACCTCTCATAAAAAAAGGGTGGGGGTAAAGAAAAATGTTTAAGGATTACTTGAAGCAAACTACACAGATAATACTAAAATCCAGCAGATTCATATGAAGCAAGAGAAAGAAAACCTATGTTCAAAAGACACAAACTATGCAACATTCTCATTAAACAGGCAAGTATGAACAATCCAATGAAACATGCGATAAAGCAGATGATGGTCCATTGAAAAAGTTCAGTGTAGGATATACTAATTTGGGGGGAGGGGGAAGCAAATAACTGCATATACTAAGGAATTGGCTTTACAAAATATTAAAATAATGGTAATTAAGTTGCTAAAATCTATATACATTAGACATTGACAATGATTTTGCTTAATGATTACCTCCCCATTTTGGGTAAGGAATGAGGAAAACATTCTCTGCAGCCATTTGTATTAAGAGTAATCCAGTGAATGCCAAGTATGTTTCTTAATCACATCAATTCAATCCATCAATTTGAAGAGTATTATCAACTACCTTTTCATTTACTTAGGGTAGAATCATATTTAGAATATAATCTTATAGATAAAGCCAATTTGTTACAGGAATGATAACAAATTCACCAGCTGATATCCCACAAGAAACTTTAATATACATTACACTCAACATTTATTTGTAGTTATGCATTCACATTTAAAAATAAATAGAAAGTTTCTTTAGGTTCAGTAGTAATTTTATAATGGCAAGTGTTCCAAATCTGAATGTCATGTATAGGTACTGCATTCTAAAGAGACCAAAACCTGACAAGATTTCATAACCATCCTACACATAGATTTTTGTACTTTTCAGCAAGAAAATCTGATTTGCTTTATGATATAAACAGTACCCATACAGCCAAACAGCCATATAACTGTTTCATAATTGAAAGATTTCCTTCCATACCAATAAACATATCAATTTTAATCACATTAGACCACAATAAACTTTCTATAATTAAAAAACATAAAATTAAAATGCCCTTGAAAACAATTGTTCTTTATTTAGAAAACCTTAATCTTGTCCAGTATTTTGGTAAGTCCTTCACTGACTATGAATATATTACAGGAATTATCTTAGTATATAAAGAAAGACATGTGCCTGATTGAAAGCAAAATTTATTTTTTTTAATCATTATTAGCAAAAATCGAAGAAGGTGGAAGGAAATCACCCTGAAATGTGTTCTATAGTATGGAAGGTATTCTTTAATATAAACATGCTCTCTATAAATGCAAAAGAGAAACAAGCCTCCTGAATAAAAATCCCACAAAGTACTGCTTAAGTTTCCAATTTGAAGAAAAGTATACAACAAAATAGAAAATACATGTGTATATATGCCATTGTAAACCAATTAGCCACTACATTGCAATCTATCTTTGGCCATATTTTTACAGATTAAAAAAAAAATTACTTCCCAGCTCCAGTTATTCTCTGCATTAATGTAATTGTAAAATTCATATTGTTCCATAGTTTTTTTAGCTTGGGTCCATTTTAGGAAGTATTAAAACACTAGAATAGGGGGAAAAAGTGTTGTTTTTCTGAAAAGTTGTTATGGAATGCAGATAGAAGAGTGCATATTTCATTTCTGAGAATCTAAAATAGCTATTAATAATAAGCTGGGTTTCTAAAGCTAGCTTTGGTTTCTCTACGCATCTTAATTTAAAGTTACAAAGCAAGTAATTTTCTCTTCACCAAAACAGTTCATTCATATGGTACCTGTATTCTCTAACAACGTCTTTGGTGTGTTGGGTCTGTTAATGATTTCTACAAGCTGGTGCAACACCATAGGAATATAAGGCTGCATCTCTATACCTAGATTATCCCCAAAAGAGAAAAACAAAAGAAAAATTTCAATGTTAAAATATCAATTTTGCTCCCTTTATTAACTGTGACATAAATTATTTATAAATACGCAAATTCATTTAAATTTTAAAAACAAAACAAAAAAGGCAATTACTAAAATATTAATACATCTAAAAATTTACACTTTTAAAGAAAAATCTTACCCATTTGAATGGAGATTTCTCCAATTGCCCATGTAGCATTATTGCAGACTGAAATGAACTCTGGATTTAGGTTGGTTCCCAATATTGGCATGAAATCAGCTAGAAAAAAGTTTTAAAAACTATGTAGTAAAACTTATCAACAGCAGTATATTGTGCTTTACAGAAAACCTACTAGGTGGAAAATGAAATGTAGGCAAGAAATAGCAGTATTTTAAAGGTGTTGGGAAATATTTACCTTAAGAAACTGAAAGAGGCAATACCTGAACTTTCATATGAAGCAGACCAGGAAACATTAAGTTTTGGTATATTTCAGATATCATTAAAAAGAGTTGGTCAGAGTACTCTTGTCATCAGACTGCGAGAAAACTCAAAAGTGAGGAAAGCATGATACATGGGAACTTTCTTTAAAGCTAGTTTATCACATGCACAATTAAAAAAACTTTTGCCCTAGTGCTCAGATTGTAATCTCAGTATCATTTTGCACTTAAAAGGAATGAGACTGGCTCTCAGAGAAATGTTTCATTGCAGGTTAAGGGCAGGAAATGTACCAGCAAATCTGGACTGCCCTGGCCAGTTTTGCTCAGCGGTTAGAGCATCCGCCCACGGATTAAAGAAAGGGTCACAGGTTCGATTCCAGTCAAGGGCACGCACCTTGGTAGTGATTTGATCCATAGCCCTGTTGGGGTCGTGTGGGAGGTAACCAATCGATGTGTCTCTCACATGATGTTTCTCTCTCTCTCTCTCTCTCTCTCTCTCTCTCTCTCTCTCTCTCTCTCTCTCTCTCTCCCTCCCTCCCTCCTTTCATCCCACTCTATCCGAAAATCAATGGAAAAGTGTCCTTGGGTGAGGATTAAAAAAAAAAAAAAAAATACAGAAACAAACAAACATAAACAAACCTGGACTATTTTGCTATGCCGGAAAGAACTCAGGAGATAACTTAAGCTCTTAATGCCTACAGCTAAGACAATTTGGGTATCGGTGAGTTTATACTGACACTCAAAATACAAACAAACAAAAACTCTGAAATGTAATACAGATACGTGTGGAGGATACTGGGAATCAATTCATTATTTTGAAAACTGGTAAATAAATAGAAAAAAATCAAGTAGTAATTCTGCCTCTCCTATAGAGTGTGTAGCTCAGGGAAATAATTTATTGATATGAAAAATGTCTCTATATATGTATTCTCACTGTTAAATGAAGAATCAGAATATAATTTTTTAAAACTCTTAATAAATTAGTGGGTCTAAAGGCAGGGCTTCTCAGTTTTAGCAACACTGATAATTTGGGCCAGACCATTCTGTCATGTGGGGGGAGTGGGCTTCCATGTGCCTTAGGGAGGATCTTGAGCAGCATCCTTTGCCTCTATGCACGAGATACCAGCACTACACCTTCAGGGTTAAACAAAATGTCTCCAGATGCTGCTAAATGGTCTATAGAAGGGACAGCACACAAAATTGCCCTGGTTGAGAATAAGTGATATAGAAAATAATCACCGTAACTGATAACATAAAAAGAAAACTAGACACCGTGTACCCCCCAAAACAAGAAACACATGATCTATAAAGTCTTAGGAGGAAATGATATCCTTCCATACAAATTTAAACTCATAAAACTAAGTTAGGTGGTAAATATTTGTAAGAACAAGCTTAGCATATAACAAGAATACATCACACTTTCACTTAGAGTAGTTAGGCTTGAACTTGTTTTATTTTTAATTAATTAAAATCATAATTAATGTTATTACTCAAAGTTCAGAAATACACTTATTAGTCACAAAGCTGGGAATTGGGTGAAGAAACTTTCAGTCTGTAAGAAGTAAGTTCTGGGGATGTAATGTATGACATGATGACTATACAGTTAACAATTCTGTAGTATATATTTTAAAGTTGCTAAGAAAACAGATCTTAAAAGTTCTTATTACAAAAGATAAAACAATTTTGTTGTTGTTCATCCTCACCCAAGGATATTTTTTCCATTGATTTTTTTTTTTTTTTTTTTTATCCTCACCGGAGGACATTTTTCCATTTTTTGTACAGATAGAGTGGGAGGGAGAGAGAGGAAGAGAGAGAGAGAGAGAGAAACATCGGCGTGAAAGGGACACATCGAGTGGCTGCCACCCGCACGACTGACTGACCAGAGCCTAGGACAATCTGCAACCGAGGTACATGCCCTTAGCGGGAACCGAACCTGGGTCTCTCCGGACCGCAGGCCGACGCTCTAACTGCTGAGCCAAACTGGCCAGGGCTCCATTGATTTTTTTAGAGAGTGGAAGAGAGGGAGAGAGAGAGAGAGGAGGGAGGGAGAGAGGAAGGGAGAGAGAAACTGATGTGAGACAGACACATTCATTGGTTGCCTCCTGCACACACCCCAACTGGGGCTGGGGACTGAACCTGCAACCCAGTTATGTGCCCTTGACCAAGAATCAAACCCACGACCCTTTGGTTCATGGGCTGACACTCTAACTACTGAACCACTGAACCAGCCAGGGAGACAGTATTTTTAATTATGTGAGTTTATGGACGTTAACTAAACTTGTTGTGGTAATCATTTCACAATATATACAAAAGGTGTACAACATGTCAAATCATGTTGCTCTGCTGGTGTCGCTCAGAGGATTGAGCATCGAATCATGGACGCAGAGGTCCTGGTCTGATTTCCAGTCAGGGCACATGCCCGGGTTGCAGGCTTGATCCCCAGTAGAGGGCGTGCAGGAGGCAGCCAATCAATGCATCTCTCTCACATGGATATTTCTCTAAAATAATCATTAAAAACATATTTTAAAAAATCGTTATGTTGTATACCTTAAACTTATACAATGTTATGTGTCAATTATATCTCAGTAAAACTGGAAAAGAAAAACCCCAAAGCACAACTGTATCAAATGAAAAACCCTTTTAGGTCAATGTTTTAAACCAAGGTTTATTAAATCATGTATAAACAACTATCCTACAATGGGATATAGAAATGAACAAAAAAAATAACCAAAATCCCATTTAATCCACGGGTTTGATAGTAATTCAGGTTATGTTATTCAAGAAATCCCTTGTTATCTTCACAGCAGACTAAGACAAATGCTATGCTATTAAAACAAAACAAATGATTTACTTTTTAAGTAAATTGTTTGAAATGTTTCCTATAATATCTGAAAAAATATGCTATAAGAAAAACTAATTAACAAGCTACTGACGAAATGGTGAGTTCAAGGGAACAAAGAACAGGAATTCCCATCCTGCCTGCTTCAATCAGGGCAGCTCTAACCAGTCAAATGTACATTTATAAATGTTGGCATTCCATGAAATTATATTTTAATAAAAAACATAGCTGATGTTAAAAATCACATCATAGTAGTAAAAAATATTCATACCTATACAAGGCTTAACATGCTGAAAGCAAGCTTTTGTCAGATCACCTAACAGGGCGAAGGAACTCTGCCGAACTTCTGGCATTTTATCCTGTTAAGAAATAAGAAGAAATTAACCCCAATGTGACACAGAGAACCAGGTCTCAATTAATTTTAATTTAACAAGTCTCACCTGCATGCATTGATACATTAGTGTTAGAATGTTACTTCGGGCTACTAGCTGTTCAATGTTGCCTCCAAGTCCTTCAGCCAGGCCACTGAGTAAATCAAGAGCCACTATCATAAAATCTTTATCTGGAGCCTCATATTGATCTGGTTGAGCATTGTTCAGCTGAAATTAGACAAATTTTTGAAAATTTATTTTGAATCAATAATTGAAAATTTTCATTTGTATACTTTATGCCTATCCTTAGAAAAATGTTTATGATGCCAAGAAAGAATAAATACAAAATTTTTAAAAACTACCATGGCTTGTGCAAGAGTCTTCTGTACTAGGTTTACACAACGCTGATACACAGGTTCACAGTATGGAAGGAAGCCAGACTGCAGGGCGGTGGCAACTGAAGATAGGCACTAGAAAGAATAAAGTACAAGTGTAAAATTTCTGGATAGTTAACATTGTGATAAATGCTAGAAAGTGTACTAATTCAGATCCTGGTTATTTCTGAGCTTGCTCTACTTGTCTTTTCAAACCTCTCCTCTAGAAGCCACCCACTGCTATTAAGTTTGCCAGATGGTCAGGGGAGGTTTCCTCAGAAAAAAATGTAAAACAGTTTCTAGCCCTGGCCTGTGTGGCTCACTTGGTTGGGTGTGGTCCCGTGAACTTGGTGGTTGCCAGTTTGATGCTGGGTTTGGGGCTCAATCTGGTAGGGGGTGTGCAGGAGGCAGCCGATCTATGTTACACTCTCACATCGATGTTTCTCTCCCCCATTTCCCCCCACTCCCTCTGAAAATCAATGGAAAAAATATCCTCAGGTGGTGAGGATTAACAACAACAAAAAAGAACAGGTTAGAAAACACATATAGTGTAATCCTTGTCTACTAAAAAAAAAAAAAAGCCTAATACTTCCATTATGCTTTTTCTATTATCACACTTAAAATACAAAGAAGTTATATATATTTATTCAGCATTTTAACAAATGGTTCAAATTTTTTAACACTGTTATCATCACATGTACCTATTTAGTTCTGGACATATGTTTTTGATAAAACACAGATTAATTGAATATTACCAGTTTAGCATACCTCAAGTAAAGGGAAGAGATCTTTATCTTCATCCTTTAACATGTTCCATTTCTGGATCAGTGGAGGCATTAGCATCTGAATATATTCCTATTTACAATGATGAAAAACACATAAAGCTCCACTATCATATGTTAACAAGTCCATTTTGAGTCTATGAAAATTAAAATCCATTTAGAGCAATTGTGTAAAATCATTACAGAATGTTATTTTAAGACTTTTTGTACCTTAGTTTATGATTTTGTTCTATTTTAATGCATCTTATATACTTAAAAAAAAAAACATATACAAATATACCATAATAAAAATTACTTGATCATAATCAGAAATAATTCGTGTAATTTTACTCTCTAGTGACTGAATTTTTAAATTCTGGGGCCTGTGACATGTAATATGGCTCTAGTTGTACAGTATGTTATAAAGGCATTTGTAGAAAGAGATTCATAATCATTTAAGGGCCCTTCTTTAAATTAAAGGATCCACAAAACCAAGTAAATAAATGTAGTAATAATGTAAAAGGGGCACCAATTCTAAGACATTCAGAAAAGGGTCTAAGACATTAAGAAAAACAACCCCCCAAACAAAACAAAACTAACCAACATCAAAGCACACCCACAAACCAAGTGTCTTGCATCAAGTTTTAAGTATAACTTACAAACACAGACAACTTCTTAAAGCTTGCCATATAGCAATCATAAACAAAATCTATCCCTTAGCATGGAATTTTGAACTATCCTGAAGTTCTCATACTACTAATCCAATCCGATACTCTTCTACTTTGAACACTACTAGAGGTAGAGTTTAGCTTCCATGCCATATTTCTCCTCTATCACTATTTAGAATTTTTAACTTACTACCCCAATTTCTAACTGTTTGATCTAGTGTATTCGCCATACCTGTAAGTTCCAGTGAGAAAACAAAGATGTCTAGATGTAGTACTCTAAAGCTACAATGGTTATGAAGTGGTAGATACAAAAATACTTTAAATTAAATAACAGTTATATCCCTTATCCTTTAGTCAGTCTACAAAGTGTTTTGCATTCATGTGAGATGCTGCTGTAATTTCTACACCAAGAACATATTTTCTTCATAACAGTTAATCACAGATACTCACTGGTTTGTTTAAATGATGTCCTACTGAATCTGCTAATGTTCCTATGGCATCATAAAGAATGAGCAAGTTCTTATGCTGGTATTTACTAAATGCAAAGACCAAGGTATCAAGTATATAAGCAAGGTAAGGAACAAGTTCTGTACAAGCCTCCTCTTCTAGGGTAGCAAAGGCACTGTAAGTAAAGAGAAAATATTAATGTTGTAGAAAAGGAATAGTTTAAAATAGAGATAGAAAACTAAGTCTATAGTTTAAAGAATGTCTATTTTACATGCCCATGTAATGAATTTAAGAAACTTCCCACTTTACATGCCTATAGCAATGAACAAAACAATGTCCCCATTCTCAGGGAGCTTACATTCTAGTGCTAGTTCCAGGTTAATAAAATTAGAATTAAAACTCTAATTTATATACCTTACCCTTCAGACGCAATCCACAGGCCACAAAATGACAAACATATTTAACATTTAGAGTGTTTGATATGTACAGGAACACAACAATATCACAACCTCAAATGTTTCCCTCAGTGGAAGGGGAAAATGGGGTGATGTAGATCAAGGGCACAAATGTTCAATTATAAGAATTCTGAGCCCTGGCCGGTTTGGTTCAACGGTTAGAGCGTCGGCCTGCGGTCCTGAGAGACCAGGGTTCGGTTCCCGCTAGGGGTGCATACCTCGGTTGCAGTTTGTCCCCGGCCCTGGTCGGTTGTGCGGGTGGCAGCCACTCGATGTGTTCCTTTCACATCGATGTTTCTCTCTCTCTCTCTGTTCCTCTCTCTCCCTCCCACTCTACCTGAACAAAAAATGGAAAAATGTCCTCGGGTGAGGATTAAAAAAAAAAAAAAAATCATAAATCTTCTTAAAAAAAAAAAAAAGAATTCTGAGAATCTGCCCTGGCCGGTTTGGCTCAGCGGTCAGAGCGTCGGCCTGCGGTCCTGAGAGACCTGGGCTTCGTTCCCGCTAAGGACATGTACGTACCTCGGTTGCAGTTTGTCCCTGGCTCTGGTCAGTCAGTCGTGCGGGTGGCAGCCACTCGATGTGATTCTTTCACATCGATGTTTCTCTCTCTGTGTGTTCCTCTCTTCCCCTCCCATTCTACCTGAACAAAAAATGGAAAAATGTCCTCAGGTGAGGATAAAAAAAAAAAAAAAAGAATTCTGAGAATCTAATGTACAGCACAGTGACTAATCAATAATATGTATTGTAGCGCACTCTTCCCTTGCAGCATGCCGGCGCTTTTCCCTTCCCCCTTTCCTTCCCCCAGGTGCATTACCACTACATTTCTCCTAAGCTCCTGTGGCCCCTTCTTTTACCTCTGTAACTTTCTAAATAAACTTTCTCTTATCAAAACAAAACTAAAAACAAACAAAACAAAATAAAATGTACTGTATATCAGAATGTTGCTGAGAGATCTTAAGCATGGTCACCAAGGAAAAGAATTACCTATGTTAACTATGAGAGGTGATGAATGTGTTATTTCATTTGGTAAGCGTTCTATAACGTGTATGTATATCAAATCATATCGAACACTTTAAATATAAACAATATTTGTCAATTACCCTTCAATAAGGTTAAAAAAAGTTTCTCTAAGCTCCACACTACATTACAGTGCAAAGTACACTTGTTATTACAAATCTGCCTTATGTATGGCTTATCTATTAGAACAAATGTACAAAAAAGGAAAGAAAAGAACTTCAGTCTCAGTGTAATGATTTCAATTTAGACCCAAACTTGTCTGGGCCTTTCATTTCTAAAAATAAGGTTTATATTATCTTCTGCTCTACTGCCCCAGGGATTTCTTAAAAATGATAGGCTTTAGCCCAGCTGGTGTGGCTGTGGGCTGAGCATTGTCCCATGAACTAAGAGGTCCTGCTTTGATTCCCAGTCAGGGTACATGCCTGGTTGCAGGATCAATCCCTAGTAGGGGGTGTGCAGGAGGCTGCAGATCAATGTATCTCACATCGATGTTTCTACCTGTCTCTCCCTTCCTCTCTCTCTAAAAAATCAATTAAAAACATATTAAAAAAAAAAGATAGGCTTTAGCCATTTGTTAATGCAAGTTTTGTTCGTTAGCAGTGTGAACTAGTTATTTATTTCACAGCAAGCACCACAAACTATACAGTTGCTTAGTAATCCCTACTCGTTTCAAGATGGCAGGAACTTAAACCCAGTATTTAGTGCATGCCTAACAACTAGCAGAGGGCTAAAAAAGTGCCAAATAAATAAACAACAGGAAACCAAATATAATCTGTATCCTGCCCCCACCTAAAAAAAAAATTTAGTGCTATTACTCACCAAAAGCCCTTTTGTTCAATTTTCTTTTATCTTATTAAGAATTAACTCTTCCAGATATTTTTGCTTCAGATCTGGGAAAGTCCAATTCCACTTAAATTTATTTTCCTCTGTTGCAAAAGCTGGAATATTTGTACTAATGAAACTGCTGGTCTAACATAAAAATAAAATAGCCCCAAAGTAAACCAACAAAACAGCTACTCAAGTAGATATATGAAGTGACAGATGACTGGTCACTGTGGGACCTTCTGTGGAGTTATGATAGTTGACCTGTAGACTAATGTGAATCTGCTCTAACTTTGGTATTGCTTCAAGAATAGGACCCTTGCCCTCACCACTCCATATGCCTGTGGAAATCATGGTGAAAGATAATTGTACTGTTATACACAGCGAGGAAAAAAAAAAACAATAAACAAACCCCATTAATGGTTTAACAACAACATTCCATCACAAGGTTGAAAATTAGTTTTTTATTGACATACCCACTCCTTTTCCGCACAATGAACATTTATTATGAATCTGTCCTACCTGCAGGCAGCTTCTTGTACTCTCTTGTTGCTATCCAGGATACGCTTTAGCAATTCTGTCATTAATGGCTTCAGGTACGTGTCTGGGGGCTGGCTGACTACCCAGTGTGCATAGCGGCTCAGAGTCCAGCACGTTATGGAACGCACAAGAGCCTTTTTATCAGAGAGGCACTGAATAAGGTGAGGAATGAGCTCAGGCAAGTATGGAATCATGCCTTGCATGCATCCTAGAAAAAAAAAATAACAGAAAATTTTCAGAAAGTGCTAAAATATGGTTAAATCAAAAACCATTTCAATTAATATTAAACTGACACATGCATCCATGAAAAATATTCAGATCATTTCTGTAATAAGTATACTGTAATACTCTGTTCTACAATTATTAAAAACTTAAATGAGACCTAACTGCTCCTAAGTATCTTCCAGCAGGGTTAGGAAAGCTCATTTTACTTCCACTACACAAATTATGACTTTCAGAGATGTTTAAAATGCTTCAATTTATTCTAGATAGATGTTAAGAGTTAGGACAGAATAATAACCCTTTATAGAGAATGACACCACTCTCAACTTGTTTTTCTACCAATGGAAATGCTTCTGACATCAGTCCTTGTCCTCTCACTCTGTTCCCTTTATCATAACAAAAGTATTTGTTAAATATCTGGCTAGGGTTAGAAGCCTGTGGCTATTTAGTTAATTGTTAATCAATTCAAAGTAAACATTCTAAGATGGCTTTTGTTTTAAAATATCCTTTTCAAGGTTAATGTGGTTCACAGTCTTCTCTTCCCTACATCAGCAGCAACACAAGAGCAAAGTATGTAAATTCAAGAATGAATAGTCTTTGCTTATAGAGTAACAATTTCTTAAAGTAGCCAGTCCCATCAGCACTAATTATTAAGGTCTTTACAATTAAAATGTGACTTAGACTTACCTTCAGCAATTGCTCCTAAAACCAAGATGCCCGATTCTTTAACAACCCATTCATGATGAAAAAGTAGTTCTTTCAAAAGGGGCAAAATGTGTGGCAAAAGCTCATCACGATACACATTTGCAAGAACATCTAGGGCAGCAGCAGAACATTTTCCTAAGGAAATATTTCATTCAAAAATATTACATTAACCTCTATTATCTTTTAGTTGTATATATGTATATAAAATGAGTATTTGCTGCTCTACAACACTTTACTCATACCTTTACAGTTTCAAAGAATTCAATTAATAGGAGGCAGTCTGTCACATAAAAAAACATTCTATTAACAGGAGTACTTTTTTATGACCAAGAATTAGCACACTGCCCTGGCCAGTTTGGCTCAGCGGTTAGAGTGTCGGCCTGCGGTCCGGAGAGACTCGGGTTCGGTTCCCGCTAAGGGCACGTACCTCGGTTGCAGTTTGTCCCCGGCCCTGGTTGGTCGTGCGGGTGGCAGCCACTCGATGTGTCCCTTTCACATCGATGTTTCTCTCTCTCTCTCTCTCTTCCTTCCACTCTATCTGTACAAAAAATGGAAAAAAATGTCCTCGGGTGAGGAAAAAAAAAAAAAGAATTAGCACACTAATTATGAATTGGAACAAAAGTCAGCAGAACAGCCCGGCTGGTGGGGCTCAGGGGTTGAGCATCAACCCATGTACCAAGAGGTTGCCAGTTTGATTCCTGGTCAGAGTACATGCTCATGCAGTGGGCCCAACCCAATCCCCAGTGGGGGGCATGCAGAACGTGGCTAATCGATGTTCTCTCTCATCAATGTTTCTATCTCTCCCTCCCTCTCCCTTCCTCTGTCTCTAAAATCAATAAGGGGGGGGGGGGGAGTCAGTAGAACATGACGCATAAAATATGCTGGAAAACATTCTTTACAGACTAAGGAACTAATAACTATCAGACTATATATTAATTTGGCTTCATTTAACATAATTTAGAAAAGGACAAAAATTTTTCCCAATATGATAAATGGATAATAAATGGTTAACTACAAACTATTAGATAATGGTAAAATAGCCTTTTTAAAAAAAGCTGTTATATTGGCCAGAAGTAATAACTTACTTATCAATAAGGGTCTTAAGTTATACTGTATGGCAGGATCTGTACAAATGAACATTATACTGCCATGAAACAGAATGAAATCTAAATGTACTGATATAGAATGAGTTATATTATATATAGAAAATAATCAGCAGAGTACATATAGTGTACTCTGTTTTGTAAAGTAAACCTCTTCTCAAAAAAAGAAGATATACATGTGTTTTCCTGTATGTGCACAGAAAAACTTCTGGAAGGATATAAAGATTGGTGTGATGTGAAGAGGAATGACATTATTACTTTAAAGAGTTATCTATATTGCATTATAATGTTAATCTACTCTGCCATCAACATGAAAGTAAAGACACAGTAGGAAGTAACTTGTGATACTAGTGAGAACTGGGTTCCAATACTAGATGTGTCATCAGTACCAGCTTGTTGACCATGGACAATTTTCTCTTTTTGTAGTTTCCTTACCTATGTAAGGCTGCTGGAAAGATGAAATGTGATATGCATGCTAAGTCTGTGGCTCAGTGCTGGGTACATTAGGCACTCTAAGTAACTGGTAGTTATAGGAAATTAAATGGGCAACAGAGGAACTAGCTTTATTTAACCAAATAAATTACACAGTCCAGGCTGATGATGCCTTTCCTTAAATACTTTGTAGTTACTAGAAATCCCAACACTCTGAATTATAGCAGTAGTTCTCACCTGGGGGCAGTTTTGTTTCCCAGGGGACAGTTGGCAATGTCTAAAGACATTGTTAGTTATCATAATTGTGTGTGTGTGTGCTGCTGGCATCTACTGGGTAGAGGTCAGGGTTGCTGCTCAGCATCCTATAATGTACAGGAAAGGCCCCACAACAAAAAATTATGTGGCCCAAAAGGTCATTAGTACTGAGACTGAGTAAGCCTGAAATAGAGCAGTGGAGCTTTAAAAACCAGTAAGCAAGCAAGCAAAACAAGGTGTCTAGGTTCCTTCCCAGACTTATTTAATTAGACTGTAGCCCAGAATGCCACAATAGATGAAGTGGATTTCCAGCTAAGGTTGAAAATGAACAGAGATTTAAAAAAGATATTCTGCAAGTTTGAATATGACAAAGCAATTTACAGTATTAAAAAATTATCCATGATAATCATCTAATTCTCATGCAAATTAGCACACAAAAAAAGTTTATGTAAGGAAAACAGGAAGTTTACGGTTAACGTTTCTATTTTAGAGTATCAAACAAAATATATAGCCTTTTGAGGCTGCTGGAGTCCCAGGCAGTTCCTCTTAAAGGGCCCGTGCACAGACTTACTCAGACTCGCTCCCTCAAGGCTCCAGCGTGGGGGAGGCAGCTTGAAAGGCACCAGAAACATACAGGGAAGAACTGAGTTGTTTGGCATGGGGCGAGAGCTGGAGAGGCAGCTTTCTCCCGAACAGACCTGCTGGCAAAGGCCATTGTTCCTTTGGTGAGCCCTTTCCCCAAAGGGCAGGCAGATGGGCACCATATCTGGGACTCCAGCAACCTGGATCACACTGTTTGCTCAGCCCTGGTGATTCTTTGAGGCCCTGCCCCACCCAATTTTCCAGCCCACCCAAGCTGTTACCAGTGGCTTTACTAAATAGGATTGCCTGTTTTGGCTCCTGCTTCAGATTTTCCTAAATTCTTTCAAAAAAGCAGCATATGGTCTCAACGAACCCCATATCTCTCACTAAGTAGCCCCAGGCCTGGCACTAGAAGCAGCCAGTCTTGTTTCTCAACTTGGCTTTGCCTGCGTATCTCCAAGCCCAGCACAAGAAGCAGCCATCTGCAGATCACTTTGTAGCTTATGCCTGGTGGTCCCAAATATAACAGAGACAGTGGGTGACCTTGCCCCAGTGCCAGCACACCCAGTGAACAGCTTCAGACCACATGGAAGCACTACCACCCAACCACCTCCACAAGTGACACACTCAAGGAATGGACTCAGTGGGTATCAGAACCCTGCTGAAGTAAGTCTTGCTCTGTGTGGTCGGCCCCTGCACAGCTGATCAACCTGAGTACATCCCTCCCATTGACATGCCAACAGCCATCAAGACTCAATTACAACAGAAGGGTATATAGTCCACATGAGCGGTGTACCTCGAGGGCCCAGCTGGGGTGATCAGGGAGACTGTGCCACTTGCCACTAGATCCTATAGGACAACTACCAGAATAAGCCACCCTATGAAGCATAGGAGAAACAGCAACTCTACCTAATACTGTACATAGAAACAAACACAGGGAGGCAATCAAAATGAGACAGAGAAACATGTCCAAAATGAAAGAACAGAACAAAACTCCAGGAAAAGAACTAAATAAAATACAGATAAGCTATCTAACAGAAGCAGAGTTTAAAAACACTGGTTATAAGGATGCTCAAAAGAGCATAAAAAAGGACCAGTGAGAAATGGAGGATGCATTAATAGAAATAAAAAATAATGTATAGGGAATCAATAGAACAGGTGAAGCTGAGAAACAAGCCACTGATTTAGAAAACAAGGAAGCAAAAACCCAATCAGACCAGCAAAAAGAAAAAAGAAAAAAAAATGACAGTGTAAGGAGCCTCTGGGACAACCTCAAGCATACCAACCTTGGAATCATGGGGGTGCCAGAAGGAGAAGAGGGAGAACAAGAAATTGAAAACCTATTTGAAATGTGAAGGAAACAAGACATACAAACCCAGGAAGCACAGAGAGTCCCAAACATGATGAACCCCAAGAGGCCCACACTAAGACACATAATCATCAAAATGCAAAAAGTTCAAGACAAAGAGAGAATCTTACAAGCAGCAAGAGAAAAGCAGTTAGTTACCCACAAAGGAGATCCCATAAGACTGTCAGCTGATTTCTCAAAAGAAACTTTGCAGGCCAGAAGGGAGTGACAAGAAATATTTAAAGTGAAGAAAAGCAAGAACCTACAACCAAGATTACTCTATCCTGCAAAGCTACCATTTAGAATCCATGGAAATATAAAGAGTTTCTTGGAGAAGAAAAAGCTAAAGGAGTTCACCACCACCAAACCAGTATTCTACAAAATGTTAAAGGGTTTTCTCCAAGAAAAAGAAGATAAAAAATATGAACAATAAAATGGCAATAAATACATATCTATCAACAATTGAATCTGCAAACAAAATAAGCAAGCAAAACAGAAACAGACTCATAGATACAAAGAACTTTTTGTAGGTTGCCAGATGGGAGGGGTGTGGGGGATGGGCAAAAAAAGATTAAGGAATTAAAAAGTACAAATTGGTTGTTAGACTGACAAACCTGAAAGAGAAAGGGGAAGGGGGTGGGAAGAGATAAACCAAAGAATTTATATGCATAACCAATGAACACATACAATAGTGTGGGGAAGGCAAGGAGGTGGGTGGGAGTGGGGAAAAGGGGGGGTCAATGGGGGAAATATAGGACATCTGTAATATACTCAACAATAAAGATAAGCTAAAAAAAATAATACATAGTAAATAAAAGAATAGGTCCATCAACCAAAAAAGACCCCGAATAGCCACAGCAATCTTGAAAAAGAAGGACAAAGTAGGAGAGATCACAATACCGGATGTCAGGCTATACTACAAAGCCACTGTAATCAAAATAGCCTGGTACTGGCATAAGAACAGGCATATATATCAGAGAACCCAGAAACTGATCCAAGACATTACGCTCAATTAATATTTGACAAAGGTGGCAAGAGCATACAATGGAGTAAAGGCAGCGTCTTTATTTTATTTATTTATTTTTTTATCCTCACCCGAGGACATTTTTCCATTTTTTGTTCCGATAGAGTGGAAGAGAGAGAGAGAAACACTGACGTGAAAGACACACATCAAGTGGCTGCCACCCGCACAACCAACCAGGGCCGGGGACAAACTGCAACCGAGGTACATGCCCTTAGCGGGAACCGAACCTGGGTCTCTCTGGACCACAGGCCGACGCTCTAACCGCTGAGCCAAACTGGCCAGGGCAAGGCAGCCTCTTTAATAAATGGTGTTGGGAAAATTGGATAGCTACATGCAAAAAATGAAACTAGACCACCAACTTACACCATACGCAAGAATAAACTCAAAATGCATTAAAGACTTAAATGTGACTCATGAATCCATAAAAATCCTAGAAGAAAATGTAGGAAACATAATTTCAGACATCATACACAGAAGAATTTTCACTGATACAATACCTAAGGCAAGAGAAACAAAGGAACAAATTAATACATGGGACTACATTGAACTAAAGAGCTTCTGCACAGCAAAAGAAACAAGCATCAAAATGGAAAGGGAATCCACTATATGGGAGAATGTAACTGCCAACTGGCGAGGGTATGGAGAAAAGGGGACTCTAGTACACTACTGGTGGGAATGCAGACTGGTGCAGCCACTATAGAAAACAATATGGTGTTTCCTCAAAAAAATTAAAAATTGAATTGCCATTTGACTCAGTGATCCCACTTCTAAGAACATATCCCAAGAAACCTAAAACACCAATCAGAAAGAATATATGTATCACTATGTTCATAGCAACACTATTTACAATTGCTAAGATCTGGAAACAGCCCAAGAGTCCATCAAAAAATGAGTGGATAAAAAAAGCTGTGGTACATATACACAATGGAACACCATACAGCTGTAAGAAAGAGAGATCTCTTATTCTTTGAAACGACATGGAGGGACCGGAGCTTATTATGCTTAGTGAAATAAGTCAATCAGAGAACGATAAAGACCACATAATCTCACTTATTTGTGGAATATAATAAACAAAATAAGCTGATGAACAAAATAGATCCAGAGACACAGAAAGGAGTATGGTGCAGACTGACAAACCTCAGAGGAGGGGGGTGGGGGGATTAACGAGATAAACCAAAGAACTTATATGCATGTATGTGTAACCAAAGGACATACACAAAAATGCTGGGGGTGGGGGTGGGGGGTGGAGAGGAGAAACATCTGCAACAAAAATAAATTAATAAAAATTGAGGGGGAAAAAAAATAGGTCCATCAGAAAAATACAAACCCAATCATATCTACCTCACAAATACTAAGTACGACGGCTATAATAAAAAAGATAATAACTGTTGGCAAGCAAGAAAGTATAATGTTAAGACAGTGCCGGTGCCCTGGCTAGTTTGGCTCAGCGGTTTAGTGCTGTTCCATGGCCCGAAGGGTGTCGGATTTGATTCCTGGTTAAGGGGACGTATCTGGGTTGCAGGTTCCAAACCCAGCCCTGGTTAGGGTCATGCAGGAGGCAACCAATTGATGTGTCTCTCTCACGTCAATGTTTCTCTCTCTCTCTCTCCCTCCCTCTCTCTCTCAAAATCAACAGAAAAATATCCTTGGGCAGAGATTAACCCAAAATAAAGACACTGCTGGTGGGAAAGTAGTGGTGGAGTCACTATGGAAAATAGCCTGGTCGCTTCTTAAAGGTGAAACACAATTACCACATGACCTAGTAATCCCACTCCTGGGTATATACTGAAGAGAACTGAAACCATACTTTACAGAAACATTCTCAGCATCACTATTCATAATGGCCAAAAGGGGGAAAACAAATGTCCATCAACTGAGAAATGAATAAGATGAAGTAAATCCACACAATAAATTATTTTTCCGCAATAAAAAGGAATAAAGTACTGATACATGCTACATGGATGAATCCTAAAACAGGCTAAGTGAAAGAAACCAGTCACAAAGGACCTTATAGTGCATGATTCCATTGACAGAAAATGTCCAGAATAGGCAAATTCATATATATAGAATACAGACTGGTAGTTGCTTAGGGCTGGAGGAATAGGAGAAAATGGGAATGACTGCTAATGGGAACGGGTTTTCTCTCTGGGGTGAGGAAAACGTTCCAGAATTTACAGTGGTGATGGCTGTACAACACTGAATACATTAAAAACCACTGAACTGTACTATTTAATATGTGAATTATATAGTATGTAAATTATTTCTCAATCAAGTTGTTTGACCAAAGCAGGCAACTGTGCTTTTGACTCTCCAACTTACTTAGATTCCAGTCAGAAATTGTATCGTCATCATCAATTTCATCGTCATCGTCATCTTCCTCTTCAATGCCATCTTCATCATGCTGCTGAGCCACTGTCCTTGATCGATGAAAACGTGGCCTTATATCCTGTTCACTATCAGGAATAGTTTCATCTTCTTCAACATCACCCTGTTTTGTTTTTACAAGGGAAAATCTTGGTGATATTTATTATAGGCTAATAATATGCACATGAGTGAAAGAGTCATAATACCCAGAGATGGGGTTATGCATAGGATTCTGAAGTACACTTCTTCTTTGTGAAGGAAAGAATAGACCATTACATACAATACTTTTTTAGGTAAACAGGTATTTTCAACCACATACATTGCCTCCCATCAGGCTGGTATAATCCAGAGTACCTGAATCCCATTCAGATCATATTTAAGGTATTTTAATGTTTCTATCTTTGAACTCTGTAGCATAGGAAGCCTATTTACACAGGGTTTGTTCTAAATAAATGTTCTATTAGTTGAACTCAAAGATTTACTAAGTCAATAAAAATAATCTTCCCTATTCACCAGAAAAGTTTCCTTACCTTAAGTAGGATAATATCTATATCTGAGTACTTCATGCCATTCACTAACACAGGAATCAACCTATAAAAAAATGAATTCATGAAACAAAGATCTAAAGATCAATACAATTATTAAGAAACTTTAACAAACTTTTGCATATCAAAAATACCAACGATAAGACCTGGCCGGATAGCTCAGTTGGTTAGAGCATCATCCTGATATGCCAAGGTTGCGGTTTTGATCCTGGGTAACGGCACATACAAGGAGCAACCAATAAATGCATAAATAAGTGGAACAATAAACGGATATTTCTCTCACCCCTAAAATCAATAAGTAAAAATAAATTTAAAAAATACCAACAAGACAATCACCACAACTAACATTGTCTTAGAGCATATTTTGTACTGTCTGCCCTTTTCAAATGATGAGTATTCCTAATATATACTGCAGTCCTTCTACAATTCATGTATGGGATCCACTAGATAGAATTTTAGTGGAGATAAGATTAATAGTGCTTAGAAATAAGTGTAATAAAAAAAAATAGCAATTTCTTCCCTAAGAATTTATCCCAAATATACCAACCACCACCACCCCCCTTTTTAAATCCTCATCCAAGGATATGTTTCTATTGATGTTTTAGAGAGAGAGAAAGGGGGAGAAAGAGAAACACTGATTGGTTGCCTCCTGTACATACCCCAACTGGGGATCGAACCCGCAACCTTTTGGTGTACGGGACGATGCTCCAACCAACTAAGCCACCTAGCCAGGGCATTACATTTCCATTTTTTAAAGATCAATGTTCCTTGATACAGTAACAAATACACTAAAAAACAAACAAACAAACAAAACTACATGTGTATCATTTATGGCTTGGTAAAAATAAATTACAATAGCTAAAAACAAATAAAAACCCCATTTTCAGTTGCATTAAAATAGTGAGATTTCCCATGTAATTACTTGTAACACAGACTATCTAGGAAGAATATACAAGAAACTGGTATCTTTGGAGAGAGAAGTAAAATTCATCTTTTACTTTATTTCTCAATGGTATGACATTGTTACAGTAAGACTACATTCAGTATTTGCTTTCCCTTTTTTTTTTGTGGTTGTTATATTTTATTTTCCAAGTAATACTGATTAAAAATTGAATGCCAATGGAAGCACAAACTGAGCTTCTAGAAGCAGATGTGGATCAAGTGAGCCCTGATATCACAAACCAGGAGGAGAGGGAATCTAGCCAAGATGTTGCTGCTGAGGCTGCAGAGATCACAAAGATACTGAGGGTTTAGAGACCAAAACCAATGAAGATTCTCAAGCTGAAAGTGCAGGAAATGAAAATAGAACATCTATGCCGGTTTTAGAATAAAGTACCCAATGAATATATTTTTATATTTACATGTTGGGCAGTGTGACTATCCTCTTTCCTGTTGTGTTGAATGGTTTCTGTTAAAACAAACTGATTTCCCTGCCCACTTAATGCTAGAGAGGAGGGATGTTTCCCTAAGTGAATGGGAAGTTTTGAAAAGTGTATTCCTGGAAACTTAAATGGATTGTATTATTATATAGTTGGGTGCAAATGTACCTCTTTTCATTGTGGTAAGGGGTTCTCCCTTCTCTCTTTTCCCAGGTCATGTCCTTCCACAAAGTTTTTTCATATTGTAAAATCAAACATAAAATCATTAGAATACAAGTGTAAGTATGTATTCTAAAGCATTTTAGAACACTGAATATACAGGGTTGGGAAAAAATAGTTCTACAGTTGTTCATATGAAAAATAATACAATAATTAATAAATAATAATACAAGAATGAACCCTGTTTCACACATTCACAACTGTAAATCTATCTTTGCCCACCCTGTATAGAAAACATGAGGCTGTGTGAAAAAGTGTGCATTGTTACTGTGCAGTTAAAATTTTGGCTTTCTTCAGGTTGAATATTCTTGTCTACCCTGAAAGTCACAGATGTCATCTCTACAAAAGAAACAGAGTGGTGGCATCCAACTTTCTAGAACGTAAAAAAACAAAACAAAAACAAACACACACACACACCCAAAACCACACCACATGCCTGTTCAAAACCAACTAAACTTCTGCAAAGCATCTCTGGTTCTTGCAAAGTCTGTGTTGTAAGGAGCTGATGAAGATGATGTTATACAGTACTTTATATTTTTTCTTATAGTGACAACTACCAGTTCTTTTTCACTGAGGTTGATAGATTTTATTTAATGGCAGCTAAAGGGCCATTTTCAACTGGGAAAATTCATTTATATCTGTATTCCTTTTAATAAAACAGATGAAAGTTTAAAATATAAAAAACAGTAAGTCTAAAAAAATAATGCAAAAGGGAAACATTATACTGACAGTTATTATAGCCTTTGACAAAAGGTAGGAAATTTAAATTTTAATATTTGTAAATGTTTTTATTGATTTTTTTTTAGAGAGAGAGGAAGAGAGAGAAACATCAATGTGAGAAACATTGATCGGCTGCCTCCTGCATCGAGCCTGAAAACCAGGCATGTACTCTGACCAGGAATTGAATCAGTCCATGGGACAACACTCAGTCCACTGAGCCACACTGGCTGGGTTACTTTAAATCTTAAATTGAGAACAATTAGAATTTTCACTAAGAAAACAGTTAAATAGATAAGGATATCATATCCAATCTAAAGAACTGTGTAGTCACTAAAACAGAACCATGGTATCTGTAAACATGGAATTCCAGGTACACTAGGATATTTAGGATGTCTTGTTTAAAAAATATCAAAACACATACGTAAAGGTTAAAACACTAACTTCAGTTCCTCTTGTAGCTACGCTAGTTTTAAGCTTTGACAGGTTTCTTAAGCCTTGACGATTTGTTTTCTCACTGGCCCATTCCATATACCTAGAAGAGCCTACCCTACTGAGGATAAAACATATGAGAATACTTTGGAAATATTTACAATATCCTCAGTCTTCTGCTTCCAAATTCTATCTTTAATTGTTCCAGGTGGCATAGGAAAAGTTACAGTCAAAGAAACTCACACTCATGAGTGCCAGCTTTGGGCTTATAATAAGCACTCTTCCTTGTAAATAACCTAGTGAGAAAAGTAACATGATCTCCATTACACAGACAAGTAAACTAAGCTCAGGGAAATTACATTATTTCCCAATGTCCTGAGTTTTAAGTAAATAGGAAAGTCAGAATTCAAAACCAGTTTGGTCTGACTCCAAAGATAATTATCTTTTACTACCATCAGATGTAAGCAACTCTCTCTCTCTAATGTCTTCAGTCTTTGTTGAAGCCTTACTTCAAATAGTTACGCATTTGAACATCAATTAAAATTTTCTGGATAGGTGTAAAAATGTGGGCTGGCCAAACTTTCATGTGTGTTCAAAGTTCTTCTAAAGTCTAAAATAGAAGGATTAATTGTAACTTAACATTACAGATAGGACAACATGCCTTGAAAAAATTTGTAATACACAGAACCATATTTTGACAGCAACAGGCATTTTGCAGAACTGGGTTCATTTGGATCACCAATAGTTAAATCATTTATGATCTCTGTAAACAATTCAGAAAAATGGTGGACAGATAGCAGACTAAAGTATTAAAAAGTGAACATGAGGTGTAAAGAAAGTGAGCCCATCTATTCTTTGAATCTTTTTAAGATGAAAAAAACTGTAAAAGAGGCAACAGAGAGAAGTTAAAAGAGAGAATCTATCTATCTGATAGAGTAAGGTCCCGGAGGATAAGATAAAATTATGCTATCCAAGACCATAAATAGAAAGACTGGTTAGGAAGAGGAAAACTCACATAAAAATACATCTATAAGTTTTGGGGTAAGATGAAGGGTTATTTGTTTTCCCAATAAAGCAGAAGTGCTCAAAATGAATGAAAACTTCAGAAAAGTGATAAAAGTTTAAAATAGTTGTACTACTGGTGAATGGCAAATAAAAGCTGATCTAGAATAAGGAAAAATCGGCTGATAGAGTGAAGGGCGGGAAGAACATGGATTTCTATAGCCATCAATCTTCCTGGCAGTGTAATTTTCCCCAACTGTATTTAACAAAAAGCAAAGACCATTAAATTAATCCAGAGCAGGGGAGATTCAGGATAGTTGGGGGTTTACAGTCAGTACAGTTAATTTGTGGATCATTATGTTTGTTAAAGAGAGAAAAAAAAACATGTAGAAAATAAGGGAATGATAAGGCCAGGCAAGTAACAAAATGGGGCTGGTTTTGCTCAGTGGTTAGAGTGTTGGCTGGTGGCCGGTGGACTGAAGAGTCTCAGTTTCCTGGCCAAGGGTATGTACCTCAGCTGCAGGTTTGACCCCTGGTGTGTGGGAGGCAACCAATCAATGTCTCTCTTTCACACCCCATCTCCACTCCCTTATCTAAAAAGCAATGAAAAAATATCCTTGGGTGAGGATTAAAAAGAAAAATAAAACGAGGCTGGAAAGTGAGATACTGGAGTTAACCGTGACTATGTAGAGTATGACATGTGTCTAATGAATCTAATCATACAAGACAAGCCCATTATTTTGGAACAGGTCTAAATGTTAAAAAGCTTTCTTCTGAAGCCTCATACAGTCACTGAAAACAAAAAGAGAAATTTTAATGCAACAACACAGAAGAGTCATGTTATTAATACCAACAATGAATGTTTACTTAAATATGTGCTGGGCAGTGGGTTGTTTTACATGGATTAATCCATACAACAACCCCAGGAGACATTAATGTATAAGAACAAATGTGGGAAAAGTAAAAAAAGAAATGAAGACCTGCCCTGGCTGTTTTGGCTCAGCGGTTGGAGCATTGGCCTATGGACCAAAGAGTCTCGGCTTGGATTCCAGTCTAGGGCACATGCCTGGGTTGCGGTTCAATCTCTGGTTGGGGTCATGTGGGAGGCAACCAGTCAATGTGTCTCTCTCACACAGAAGTTTCTCTCTCTCTCTCTTCCCGCCCCAACTCTGTTTGAAAATCAATGGAAAAATATCCTCAGATGAGGATTAAAAAAAAAAAATTAAAAAAAATGAAAACCTGCTTTACCAGATAACAAAATATATTTTAAATGTTCAATAATCAAGAATACAGTACTGGTTAAAAAAAACCAGACTATATAGCTCAGAAACAAATAAAAGAATTTTATGTTAAGAATTCCTTGTTACATTAGTGCTTTCTATGTAAGTTCTCATCAATATGACATATATCATTACACATACAATTTTGATTACCAAGCAAACATTTTTTTGCTTGTACTAAACAAGAGTCTGGTTAACAGACGTAGGAACACAAGTTCTTTCATCATGTTTTTTTTTTAATCTCAGCATCAGATTGATGTTAATATTCTCCCATCCTCACAATGTATTCTGTCTTTTTTTTAAATCCTCACCTGAAGATATGCCTTGATTGATTTTTTTTTTTTTTTTAAGATAGAGAGGAAAGGGGAGAGAGACAGAGAAAAGAAACACTAATCAGTTGCCTTGCATACACCCCCCCGACTGGGGATTGAACCCACAACCTTTCTGGTGCACAGGACGATGCTCCAACAAACTGAGTCACCTGGCTGGGGCTCACAGTGCATTATTTCAACTAAAAATAAAAGCAGCATATCCATCAAACACTGTTATGACTGGCTTGAGTTGTTTAATGTTTGAAGTGCTGATTTATTAGCCTACTACTACTCAAGTCCTGTTTGCTTTAAGAATGTATAGGTTTTCCCGGCTGGTGTGGCTCAGTGGATTGAGTGTCGTCCCATGGACTGAGAGGTCCCAGTTCGATTCTGTCAGGGCACATGCCCGGGGTTGTGGGCTCGATCCCTAATAGGGGGGCGTTCAGGAGGCAGCTGACCAATATTTCTCTCTCACCCTTCCTCTCTAAAGAATCAATAAAAACATATTTAAAAAAGAATGTCCAAGTTTTATTAGTATAATGAGAGTTAGAGCACCAAGAAATAACGGTGTATTATCAATATCTCTTAATGATATAGAACTTAGGTTTTCATTAATAGCCCTTCAGGTTTTATAAAAAGTGACTCATTTATGTGATTCCTAGAATTATATGATACTATGTTAAGAAACAAATAATAAAATGGTATCACAAGTTAAGGGAGAAAAATAATATATAGATTTCCTAAAGGAAAAAATTAATTTAGCATATGATGTACTTTAGTTCTAAATAAATTCCAGATAGACTAGAATAAAATATAGGTAAAATTTCTGCTTTCTTGGTGGGGAAAGAATTTACTGGAAAAGAGAAGTTTACTGACTATATGAAAACGAGACCAACCAAGCACCGTAAAAATCTAAAAAATATATATGTAACTCCAATAATACTACAACATATTTAAAACAAGTGGTTTTGTTCTTTGTTCATCCAAATGGCTAAGATTAGAGATATTATAATTAATAGCTGGTAATAGTTGTGATAGGATGGAACACTCTAGTGGGGTATAAAAGCACATAACTTCACTAGAGAACAATTTAGAATATTTATGAAGAATCCTGAAATATTCAGCCTTTTGACCTCGGTAAAAATCATTCCTAGGAATTCTATGTGAAAGAAATAACCACTTGTGAGCGAAGAAAGATGCTCACTACAGAATTTTGATAAAAAAAAAGGGGCAAACAACTTAAATATTCAACAACAGAAGAAAAGTCAATCATAAATATAGTATGCACACTATGATGAAATAACACTCCAAGTTTAAAGACTAATAACCTGGAGGAAAGTACACAACATTCAAGTAACTAAAAAGAGCAAACCACAGAACAGTACAATCAGAATTTTAAGTGCTGACTATTGCTAGATACTACATTGTGTTTTATACACTATCAAATGTAATTCTGCCTGAAAATATGGTATTTGGTAACAACACATCAAAAATATGAACAGTGATTATTTTGGATGGTAAAAATCCAAGATTTTTTAAGTTTTCTGCATTTTAATTTTCTTCCAAGAGACTGTATTACTTACTTTTCACATTACTTTTAAGTAACTGATTTTAATGCATTACATTGTATCTAAAACTAATACAATGTTTTATGTCAGTTATAGCTCAAAAAACCTAAAAAATAAAAAACCAAAATCCAAAAACTTACTGAACAGCATTCATTGGGTTAAAAATAGCCTTAACAATAGATTAACAAAAAATTTCATAGCATCACAACTAGTGGGAAATCATTTTATTTGGGAAAAACCCCACCAGTCCGTGGTCAAATGACAAAGATTATAAAAAAAAGACAACTGTGCCATGAATTACCCCAAATTAAGTATAATTTAGAATAAACCATGCTCACATAATGTAAAAAAATGCAATTAGTTGCTTCTTGAAAAATCTCTTTACTAACAATAAAATTAAGTTTGAGTTCTTTAGAACTTAACTCCCTGATGATAGAAGAATGGGACCTAAAAATATGAAAACGAGGAGTCACTATTAAATCTAAAAACAAGGTAGCATTCATAAAAAGGAACACTTACTTAGGAAGGTGCCTTACAAGTACATCTTTGCATATTGGTTGCTCAGCCAAAGTGAGCCAAAACTCACAGGCTTCTAAAGCCACATTTTCATCTTGATCTTGGGTCCTCTGTAGCATGTACTGTAAACAAAGGAGCCTTAATGTGAATCAGTTAAAATCATGCAATTAAAATAAAATTCTATTTCAACAGTGGCCTTGCACTTTTTATTGATATTCAACCTAGGGTTTAAATTTTTTAAAAAAGCTTCCTAGTTAATTCTAAAATGCTGCCAAACTTAATAACTGCTCCTTTTGAATGTTACCTAATAAAAAGTTTTCAATGCATGTGTTGTTTAGCTGCTTCTGTATGGATATATTTTGTTTTATGAAACCACTGAGATTTTAAAAAATGTGAGTATTAATAATCAAGCATTAAGTCTTTGCAGAAACACAAAATTAAAAACTCCATTATTGCCCTGGTCGGTTTGGCTCAGCAGTTAGAGCATCGGCCCGCGGACCAGAGAGTCCTGGGTTTGGTTCCTGCTAAGGGCATGTACCTCGACTGCAGTTTGTCCCTGGCCCTGGTTAGGATTGTGTGGGTGGCGACCACTCAATGTGTCGCTCTCACATCGATGTTTCTCTCTCTCTCTTCCTCCCACTCTGTCTGAAGATAAATGCAAAAAAATGTCCTCAGGTGAGGATTAAAAAACCAAAACAAAACAACTCCATTATAACCTTTCTTAAGATGAAGAATCTTTTTATATAGCATAACCACTTGAGCTGTCTCTTGAAAGTATGCACTTCACGTATTTAATAACAATTACAAAAGTTAGGTTCCCAGCTGTTACCTGGCCCTAGCAAATGATAAAATGTCTTTCTTAACTTTCTGGTTAATTCCAAACTCTCTCATTCAATTTTCAACCAACTCCACTCGATTCTTCTAAACACTTCATGGAGAGAATAGGCTCCTCAGAGAAGCTGTCATTTATTTCCATATTACACTGGTACATATGCTTATCTCTACAATTATCTTTCCTAATGTTTTAGAAAAGGAGTTGCTGTACATCATGGATGCTAGCCTTCTTCTAACAGGTCTTAGATCCCATTCTTTAAAAAGAGAGAAACTAGATACATGCTATTTAATCCACCTGCAAATTATTTTGTTCCAGTAATAATTACATTTTCTTATTATTTATTCCGTCCTTTAACTATCACTAAACTGTGATCAATGTATTTAGAATTTCCTACTAAAATTATTTTAATCACATTTAAAAATCTAAGTAATTTGCTGGAACTATTATAATGGCAATATATTTTGTCTCAGAAATCTCATTGCTAACATAAATCACAAGTTGACCAGACCAATTTTACGAGTAAGGGGTAGAAAACTCTTAATGACATAAGAATATGCCACTTAATCCACCGCAGTTTAATGATCATTTAGCCTAACTCAAACCTAGTAAATACAAATAATCTAAATATTTCCTAGTTATCCTGGTTAAAAGCTATCTATTACTTTAATTTTTCTTCTTAGTAATCAATCTTAAAACATCTTACATCTCATGAAAGAAAAATTACCATAATGATAATTTATCATTTTAAGACAATTTATCGTTAACTATTTTTGTAGTCACCCCAAAAAGTGTTAATACTAGAAAACAGTGGTTTTACATTTTCAATTTATGCCCCACATTTTTCTTCAGGGAAAGACAAGGAGAGAGCCTATAAAATGCCTGTGTTACCTCAACTATATTATGCATGTGAGGAAGAAGGCGATCCATTCGAACTTCAAGCAACATCACAAGTGCTCGGCACACATTTTTCCGTACCTCTGGTTCTTCATCCCCAGCCAATGCAAAGAGATTCTATTGCACAAGAAACATTTTTTCTAGTTAAGTATTCCAATATATTAGAAAAGTTTAGAAATAACCAGTAATCTGCAAGTTGGTAACATTTAAAAACCCTAAGAAAATATAGTACAAATAAAGACTGCATTAATTGGCCTACAGTATTAAACTATAAAATAAGACAAATGTAGAATGATATTGCCAAAAATTATGATTTTGGTGAATGATCTAAAAACCATTCTTTCCTATAGAGCATGACCGGTTGTGTTTTGAGGTAATTTCTAGTTTGTAAGAATAAAACCATGTCATTTGGACACAGGGGCACTCATCCAGCTGATCCAGAAATAAAGATAATCATCAAAATAGAATTTGATTTACCTTCAAAATTACTGTCTGTCAAAAGACTTAAGTTCTACCAACTCTGATTCTTAAGGTGGTAACAAGTTCTATCAAAGCACCAATAACTGGGAAATATATATTATACCGTTTCTAAAAATCAAACCTAAACTGCCATTGTTTACCAGCTCAACTACTGGAAAAAAAAAAAAGTGATTGATTTCATACTGCTCTTAACAAGTTTTTCTACAAGGTTAAAAAAAATCTGAATGAATATAGACTGTTTTGTTTAATCATCACAATGCTAAAATGTTATTATTCAACATTACAGATAAAGATATAGAAGTGTAGATGTTAAGTAACTTGCTAGCCAGTGGAGGTATCTGAAGTTCAATGTGACAGTATGTGAAGTACTATTTCTAGCATTTTAAAATATTTGATTTCCCCAAGTCCCTGATGCTTTCAAAACTCTAGTTCAGTGGTTCTCAACCTTCCTAATGCCGCGACCCTTTAATACAGTTCCTCATGTTGTGGTGACCCCCAACCATAAAATTATTTTCGTTGCTACTTCATAACTGTAATTTTGCTACTGTTATGTCTTAGGCGATCCCTGTGAAAGGGTCGTTTGACCCCCAAAGGGGCTGGACTCACAGGTTGAGAACCACTGCTCTAGTTCCTTTTTAAATCGGATACATTTTACAAGGTCAGAAAAGAATACCGTTTTTCCACCAGGTGCTACTTTATGTTAGATTACACCTTTCATTAAATTTGATGTTGTCTTAAGATAAATACCCAGCTTTGCCAAGGTAGGTGATAGCCCTGTATTAGTAACCAATCCACTTTCTGTCAATAATGTCAAACTTAGCAGACATGACATTAGCCTTTGATGAAACACTGATAATGGAAGAAGACAATGCATTTATTCATTAAACAAATAGTTAATGAGGGCCTACTCTGTATCAGGCACCTGCTCTTGTGGGATGGAAAACTCGTTGACTCTTACATGATTATCAAGTAGCAGAGAAGTGTTAACATGGCATATGACACTAATGGGAAATATTTAAAATGTTGGGAAATGTTCTTGCTCCACTTGTGGAGTATGGTCTTATGAAAATTTTGAGGGAATTTAATTTCTTTTATCCTAAATTAAATTTCCGTATCAGATGCTAGTATGTCCATCACAGTTCCCTTAAGCTGTTGAAGAATTCTAAGAGGAAATACTATCATAATGACAACTTTAAAAAACAATAGCATTAGTTAACATGCAGAGTGCTCACTCTGTGGCAGGAACTGTTCCTATTTGCAGCAAATACATAACAATACAACAAGGTAGGTCTATTAATAGCCCCATTTTACAGATGATGAAATGGAAAACACCAATTCATTAAGGTGCCCAAGGTTAACAGCCAATAAGCTGTGGAACTGGGATTTGAACTAGTCTTATTCTAGACCTCGAATATTATCCACTAACCTCTATATCAAACTAGACTGGAAATACTTTGAGGCATAACATTTATTTACATATCCCTAGCACTAAGTACAGTGCCTGATTCATAGTAGGTGCTCAGCAAATGAGAAAAACACCCAAAACACGACTTTTTCCCCTCTTATAATTTTACAAAAATAATACAGTCTCTGAAGGATTTTTTAAAAAAAATAACAGCTGAAAAGAAATAGACTGATTTTATTTGGGGGAAAATAAAAGTTAAGTAGGCAGTAAACAATCCTTTCACAATTCCTGTTATCAAGTAAAGGAAATTCTGAAAAAGAATTCTAGTATAGGGTTCATGACCAGAAAATTATGCTCTTGTCTTTCCGCTTTTATCAAAAAGTTAAAAGTGTCTTTAGAAATGCTTGCTTAAGACTTAAAAGCCAGTTTTTTCCCCCTGACACCTCTAATTTTATAAATGGAAACCATAGAAAACCAGAGTACAGCAGGTTCTCTAATAATGTCATTTCATTACAACACTTATGAGATGTGGTAGGAATCTGACTCATTTATATCAATTAGCCTATGGTGAAATTGAATTTGTTATCCTTTGTTTGAGTTAAAGTCACAGACCATACTGATGATGTAAAGTGAAGACTTACTGTCCTTTCAGTCTGTGCCTTCACGTTCTTTATTAAGTTTATTCAACCTCACCATACTGCAAATAACTTGGGATATTTCATTTCCATATGCAATTGAACAGAATACTGAAGCAGAAATTTTATACTGAAGATATTAAACACTTCATAATCAATATTTATATCATGATGTAAGTGGAAAAATCAGTAACAGAGGAAAAGTTTAATTATAAAACTGCATGCAACAAACACTTTTTAACCATTTCAAAAACAAAGGGGGGGGGGCCACAAATCTTACCTCAATAAAAGAATCAATGTGCAACATCAGAGCTTGAGTCCTACTGATGATAAACTGATTGACACATGCAACAGCATGAGATCTAAAAACAAAATTTAACATTTAACCTATGCTCATTGCATCATTTTTCCATTTACAGAAAAACTTAAACATTCCTCTATAAAAGGATTAAGGTGTATGTAGAGCCACACAAACATAACCTAAAATAAAAGAGTCAAATTTCTCTGTGTATTAACATAGAAAGAATATGAATAATATATTGAGTAAAAAATGCAAGTTGCCGAGCAATGTATTATAGCTTCTCTAAAAGTAAAAAGTGTCTTAAAGGATATGTTCACATTTTTAATAGAGGATACTTCTAAAGAATGAAAGAAGGTTGGATGGATGTATAATGGGAATTTACATTATTTACCTAGAGACTTAAAAATAAAGAGTATGTATTCCTTTGAAACTAAAAACAGGGAATAGTCTATTATATGTGTTCTGAAATACCCAATCAATTTCATAGCAATTCTTAATGATACTACCTAAAATCATTCTTAGCTCACAGGTCATGGTCATGGCTGGATTTGGTCCCATGGGTCAGTTTGCTTAATTGGCCTAGACATTACTCTATAATGTGGCTACTCTCTATCACCTAACTTTATTTCCTACTATGCCACAAAATTTTTTTCTTCTGTCACTCTAAAAGGCCTCTTCCTAATTCTAGGGCCTTTTCTACTTGCTGTTCCCCCATCTTCCCCTTGATCCTGCAAAGACTTACTACTTTACTTTTGTTCAGGGTCTGCATGTCACCTTTACAGAAAACCTTTTATACAAAATACTTCTGAATCACGGTCTAACCCTTTTATCATTTTCCATAGTATTTATCATAAAATTATATTATTTATCAATTATTACTGTCCTGTATACCACCTATTCTAATAACCCAATAGAAAAAAAGATAGAAGAGCCCAACCGGTGTGGCTCAGTGGTTGAGCACTAACCCATGGACCAAGAGGTCACAGGTTCAATCCCTAGTGGGGGGAATGCAGGAGATAGCCCATTGTTGTCTCTCTCTCATCAATGTTTCTCTCTCTCTCCCCGCTTCTTCTAAAAATCAGTGGGAAAAAGACAGAAGAGAAAATCACCATGTACAGCCAACAAACATAGAAAACGTTCAACATGACCATAATGAAAGACCATTTTATATTTATTTAATTGGCAAAATTCATAATGTGGGACAGTATTAAAAGCTGAATATGTGTACGTAGGAAATTCTTTGCTTTGTTAATAAAGAGTATAATTGATGCAATAATTTTGGAAAAGTTTGCAGTTATTTCCTTGAGTTACTGGCCTGCCCTATGTCTCAAAAATTCCTTCCCAAGACTTTGTCTTCCTAAGAGAAACTTTTGCAATAGACAAAAGGAGACAAACATATAAATGTTTTTAGCAGCACTACCCACAATAACAAAAACCTAGAAGCCAACCGAAGGCCACTGGGGTGTATATGTGTACATGAATAAACTGTGTAACTGTCATGCAAAGGAATAATACACAGTAGTCAAATAACTTATAGTGACACAATATGGATGAACCTTAGCAACATAATATTAAATTTAAGAAGTCAAAGATTAAATTCAGTATAATTCCTTTTATAAAGTTAAAGACAAGGATTAATAACATTATTATTATTATTATTAAATTTTCAACCAAGGATATTTTTTCCCATTGACTTTCAGAGAGAGTTGAAATGTTAAAAGGGGGAGATTTCCTAGGGAACATGAACTGTTCTATCTAATTTCCTATTCCAGAAAGTGTAAATTTTTATTTTGGAAATGTTTATTTGCATGACATTACCACTAATAAGCATCTAATAAGTTTCCACTGTGAGTTTAACACTGGATATACGTACCGCTGAAGGGGAAAAGTAAAATTAAATCAAGGTACAAATGTAAGAACTAAGTAAGAGAATTTAAGCAAGAAAAAGATTCCTGTTTTACTCTCTGGTCACACTGTTGAAACCATAATCCTTTGAAATACAGCTTGGAATCTTGAAGTAAGCCCCAATGGGCATCTTGAACTAATAGTTACAGCCTATACACTAACGTTCATTCAGCTGGACATTACTGAAGCCTCTAAATATTACATAATTTCTAATTTACATAATAATATATTTGACAGAAGAAAAAGTAATGTCTTTTCCACAGAAAAAATTAGCAAAGTTCAAGTTAGAAAAAAATTATAATTGGAGGGGGGAAAGCACAGCAGGCTGGAGAACTTTTGGTGAAGTTCCAGAGCCTCACACACTTCTACAATGTAATAAAGGCATCATAATTATAGTGTGATAGGACAACTGAAGAAAACAAAATTAATCAAAGGTTAATTTAATATTCTAAATATAACAGTTCAAAAACTATATGCTAGGCAGTTTTCAAGGAATTAGGGATACGGAGATAAAAGAAAACAGACTAAGTTAACTTCAGGACCAGCTAACCAGGCCTATGTGATTTCATAGTGTATTCAAAAATCCTTCCACCTTCAGGATTAAAAAATTTTTGTAAGTAGATTTAAACCCCTTAAAATAAAATTATTTAATAATTTAGATGTCATACTAGAGGAACTTTTATATATTACACAGCTGCAAATACAAACAACCCCTCCCCTCCCAATACACTGGACACTAACCTTTCATAAAGGTCCTTAAAAGCATGTATGTTAACCATTATAAATGCAATTAAACATGTAGAACTATCATATTCAATGACAATTTCATCAGAAAAGTCGAAATTTCATTAGAAAAGTCGACATTTCATGGGCTTTGTTTTAAAGGGAATAAATTTCAGTTATCAAAATTCACCTTTGTGGTGTATCTAATATATTTAGCCAGTCACAAAAATATCAGACAATGCAAAAATAAGAAAGTGGTCAGGCTCAGAGTTTATCAATTAATTTATTATTGGCTATATAGATACCTTATTTTTGGACTACTGTGCTTGAAGAACTGTAAAAACTTTGGAATCATGATGTTGAGAGGACGATCTAAAACATCACTATCTAAAATCTCAGCAGAATCTTCACATATCTTCTGAAGGGCACCAAATGCTCCCTATAAAAGACATTTAAATTATTAAAATAAAAAATAGAGCCATTTTAAAAGCAAATTGAGGAATACTGACTAATTTGTATGAATTAACGTTCTCAGTCCACATGAAAAGCTTCCTCACCAAATCTGTAAATTTAATCAATTTTAAGACAAATTACTATACCACTGAGTTATCTAAAATCTCAGTTTAAATATAATGATACATTTTTTTTAAAAGAATATATTTTTATTGATTTTAGAGAGGAAGAGAGAGAGAGAAATATCGACTGGCAGCCTCCTGCATGCCTCCTACTGGGGATTGAGCCCGAAACCACTGGGAATTGAACTAGTAACTTCTTGGTGCATGAGACGAGGCTCAACCAACTGAGCCACACTGGCTGAGAAGATATTTTGGTTCGCAGGGACTGTAATATCTAATTCAAAATCCTAACTTTGAAACATTCTTGTCAATTTTAAGTCAACATTAACTTTTCTCTTTTAAATATTATCAGTTTGTAAAACTCTGTACTTAATATAAATACATCTAACCACTGTACTACCTCTTTTTTTGAAGCACAAAAGAGGTCTCAATATCGTTAAAAAATTACTTATATGTAAACCACTTACTGGATAATGGTGACAAAATCTGTTAAAAAGGTAGGCAATTCAAATTGGCAACTATTTCTCTATAGCCTTTTTACCCCTAATGGTCTACCTTAGAGCTCTTGTACACAATATGTAACCTATTAGCTGATCTACTTACATACTTTACTGCTTTTAATTCCATCGACAGCACCTTGGAACTTATTCTCCATAGTACAATTAATTTAGAAATATTGTCTCTTTAGTATGACTTATATAGTAACTCCTCCACAATTTCATGACTATTGCAGTTTAAATTTTCTTATTCTTGGAAAGTGCTTGCTTAAAATTTTGATTTCCTTTTATGTTGTTACCATTATACCAAAGCACTATTTAACTTTAAAAAAATATAATTACTTTTTAAAAAAATCTCACCTGAGGATAGTTGTGTTATTTTAGAGAGAGAGGAAGGGACAGAAACATTGACGTAAGAAAAACATCATCAGTTCCTCTCATATGTGCCCTAATCGGAGATAGAACCCATAACCTTTTGGTGTACAGGATGACACTCAACCAACTGAGCCACCTGGCCAGGCACTCTATTTAACTTTTAACCAACTGTTACCTGATGACTAAATATTTTTTCAGTTTTTCTGAAATATTATCAGTGTTTTTCTATGGCATTATTTTAAAATGTATATATGAGAATTCAAGTTGTTTTTTTTAGAGTCTTTTCTAAAGCTTGCTTTGCTAACTTTCCTTCTCTCCAGTTTCCCCCTTCCTCAAGTCAGACCTGGCAACAAAGACCAACTGATTTCTTCATGTTAGGTTATTCCTGTGCCTGCCTGCTTCCAAACCTTGCTCTTTTTTGAGAGGAAGAAGGGTCAATGCCTTACACAAAACACCTAAAATGGTTTCCATTTAAAACAGATTTCTATCCAAACTAGAAGCCCAGCTAATGACAAATTCTTAAAGCACTCATTAACAGTGCGAAATTGTAGAAGAAATCCAGATTCCCTCACCTCCCCAAATGGAAAGGTTGCTACTGATTTGATCAGTGGCAAACAATGAGAGATTATAATTAATGCATGATTAAAACTAGGCTAGACATGTCATACAGTAAGAGGTACAAGGACAATTTAGAGAAGCTGAAAAAATAGTCATGGTCTGGGAATTTGGTAAACTAAGTCAAGTCTATCTTCAAAAAATACCACATCAACTGATTAAACTTGACAATAGCTGTTTATTACATATATACACATATTCTAGGCTTTTAAGTTTTGAAATATTTTCAGAGAAAAATTTTCAAAAGTTACTAATATACAATATGGCAAGAAAAATTCCATAATGAAGCAAATATTTTTACCTCACAAGTGTTGTAATCTTCAGAATCCAATAAGCTACAGAGTTTTGGTAAGAGGTCAGGCCAATTCTGCAATTCTCCCTTGGAGGCTATGGTTGTAATCAAAATACCTTGAAAGAAAACACATACCTTTAGGAAATCTGACTGCATTATGTTAGATATTGCCATGTGAACAACTACACACAAACATGTACAAAACCACACACACTTATTTAAATGTCCCAAATCAGCCTAATACTTCCAAATCATTTAATTAACATTCATCAAGGACTCCTACATCACCACACCATAAATCAGATGTTTCTCGTCTTGTTTTTTTAACTTCACCATTTTTTTTATTTTTAACAAGCATCTGTACAGAAGACTACAACTTGCTCTTCTCCAAGAATAGTTCCACTAATTAAAATCACTCCTATTTTATAGAAATTACATACAAAAGAATAGAAAAAAAATACACAAAAATGTTAGTATAATTTATCACTGGGTGAGGAGTATGACTGTTAGGTTCAAATAAAAATACATCAAGCCCTGGAGGTTCAAATAAAAATACATCAAGCCCTGGCTGGTTTTGCTCAGTGGTTAGAGCATTGGCCTGCAGACCAAAGGGCCTTGGGTTTCGATTTCCGGTCAAGGACACGTACCTGGGTTTCAGGTTCAATCCTGGCCCTGGTTGGGCTCATTTGGGAGGCAATCAATCAATGTGTCTCTCTCTCACATCAATGTTACCCACCTCCCCCCATCTAAAAAGTCCATGGAAAAATATCCTTGGGTGAGGATTAACAAAACAAACAAAAATCAAGAAGTTAAAAACAGCTCCTGACTTAAACTAGGATTACAGCCATGGAGGAATCTAGGTATGGAGAGAAAGTAGATAAACCATCAATGGAGAATAATTCTACATGCTCACTCTTGTCTGCAACATCCCTTCAGTGTGGACACACTCCTACAAAGTTTCCCACTTACTGGATCAAGGATGAATCACCAGCAAGGTGATCTTGGAGAACTGAGGGGTACATGCTGCTTGATTATGTCACTCTGACTGGATTATTTCAACTGTGTAGAAGTGCAGCTTAGTTGTGATAGTTACATGAACATGTGACAAAATTTTGTATTAATACAAACAAATGTAGTAATATCACAAAAATTGTGTTAATCTTTTCCTCTGCCTTAATAAATTGAATATTAATAACTAATATATTTGACAATTATAGATCTTTTAGTATCATTATTAAAACTATAAAAACTCTGACAGGAAAATTATTTGTACTCTAAACTTCAAAATACTACCTTGTAAAAATTAAAAAAGTGCTTTTTTAGTTATTTTGGGAATTTAGTGATATGCACACAAAATGCTTGTATCTTAGCATACAGTAAATGCTTAATGGTTATTATTAAATAGCAAATTCCACTGTTTGTGTACATAAATTCTTTGAAGTTTTCACTGTTAGTCTTGAGAAGGTCATTCCCGATGAAGAGCTAAAAAATGTAAAGCTGTTGGCTAATATTTACTCTTTGCTAAAAAAAATTTAAATTATATGGTAAGGGTTAATGTATACATAGCATTTTTAAGACACCACCCTTACAATAAAATAGAATTCTAGTAAAATTAAAAAGCAGTAAGACTAATAGATCTGTTCCTTCTGGCCAATTATTCTTTCCCGAAGTTAAAATATAAAAGAATTGAGGAAAACAGAAAGCTCTCGATCTGCCCAAAGTAAACCAAGCATGTCTTTAAACAAGCAATGATAAAAAATAAACATAAGCAACACCCTAGTACTAATAGACTGCTGATATCCACTACTTCTGCTAAGAGATCATTAAAGAATGTTGACAGACTAAAAAATTCAAATTTATCTGGCTCCATATAATCTCATTCACTCCTGAAAAGTCTTCTAATGCAAAAAGTGAAAAACTGAGATATTCTGTTAAAAAAGATGGGAGTGAAAATTGCTGTGCTTGGCAATACCTATTACAATTTTAAATGTTTAAACAACACACTTTGACCCAGTAATGCCACTTCTGTGAATTAATTCTATAGAAAACGTCCCCCAAGTGTATAATCACACATTAAGGGATGTTGACTGAAATAACAAAATTATAAACCAATCATCTATTAACAGGAGAAACAATTTTAGATTCATCTAATAAATTACCACACAGTCATTTAAATGTGGCCCTTCCTTGGCAAGATTCCCAATATGTACTGTTAAGACTAAAACATTAAAAAAAAGACTGACATACACTTACCATTCTTTTTACCAGTGTCAAGAGTTGGTAGAGCATTAGGAGGGTACTCGATGATCCATCAGAATAACTTAAGGAGCCCCTTTTCTCAAATTACAAATGCCCTCTACCCATCCCATTTAAAATCAGTGTTAATAATGGCAGTTTTTAATGCGTAAATATTTAGTGGGAAGTCACAGAGCCTCTGGTTTTTAAGAGACAAACTGGGTACTTTTGAAATCCATCATGAAACAAAATATACAAAAGTAAAGACTTTTTAATAAAAACGACTTACTCTTTTGAAGATTAACTGACTGCCATTTAGCCAACCTGCCAGATTAACAGAAACTTTCTAGATCTTTGTAAAATTGAGCTACTTAAGGCCCATGGCATACTGACTGCTGCCCATCAGTAGGTGACTCTAGAGCATACCTGCCCATTTCTTCTTCCATCAGGTGATGCATGTGCTTACCAACAGTTAGATGTACTTGTTTCTGAACCTATTTATACCAGTTATAATTAAGCATTTTAACTCAATATTACACAAAACAATAGTCATTTTTTCACTGAAAACAAGTTGAACACTGGACTCATAAACTACTGTATAACAAGTTCTCACTTAATGTCACTGATAGGTTCTGTGACTTAAGCAAAATGACCTAACAAAACCAATTTTACCATAGGCTAATTATAAAAACAAAAGTTAGGTTCCAATGGCATCATCAAGGCTATAATAAACACATCAAAAGCATATGAGTGGAAATGAAAAATTTCCATCACAATTCAACTTGAAATGAATGACAAAACGTCCTATGAAAATCATCTGTCATATCAAAAAACAACCCAGTTACAAACAAAATAAGCAAAATGTTAATAATATAACTTACCTACAGTGGCTCTAATCAGAGGAGAGGAGTCACCAATATTGTTTAAACATTCGCTTTTAATAAAGTCTGTTACACCATTTGGGAAGTTCTGAAAATGTGCTTTCACATTATTCTTCAAAATGAGACCACTCAATGATCTTGTGGGTTCATCTGTAGTAAAATAATAACAACAGTACTGAGTTTTAAAGCAGTTTCATTTTTAAATGTGCCAAGAACAGTAACTTTAAAATTTTTTATATTCAACAATTGATTCCAACATTCCAATAATTTTGCTATAACCAGAAGAAAAATATCACAAATGATTTCAAAAGATTAGCTCCTTGATTTATAGTTCAGGGTTTCTCAACCTTAGCACTACTGACATTTTGGGTCACATAATTCTTTGTTGTGGGGTGCTGTCCTGTGCACTGTAAGATAGTTAGCAGTATCACAAGCCATAAATGCCACCTCTCCAAGTTGTGACAACCAAAAATGTTTCCAGTTAATGACAAATTCTGGGGGAAATGGAAAAAAGGGGGAGAAGAATTACACTGGGTTGAGAACCACTGATTTAGTTTGAGTTAATTTAGTTTATATATGGCCACTGTACTCAAGATTTACTGAAACCTGATATAAACATCAAATTAAAAATCTGAAAGTATTAGTCACTAAAAATATCCCATTAAAAAAATCAAGTGGACAAAGCATATATGGGATCACCTTCATACACAAATTAATTGCTGTTCATTTATATCATGTTTTTCACTTGCCTCTGAGCTACAAAAAAAAAAAAAAAAAAGGTAAAACAAGTTTAAAATTTCTAGAAGTATTTTAAAAGCAGAATTTAGTTAAAAGTTTAATACAGAGATGGTGTAAACAAACTTTTAAGAAGCAATTTAATATCTGTAGAATATAATTGCTGTGTTACCAATTGGCATCACCATCAACACTATTTGCAATAGTTAATATCTTCTGAATATTTATCTGGTCCTAAACAATGCTAAATGCTTTACAAGCAGTTTGCATTTAACCCTTACAACCTCATGAGACCATAGTTATTCCCACTGTACAAATGAAGAAACTGAGGCCTTTGCCAAAGTCACAGAGCTACTAAGTGGGAAAACCAAAATATCAACCTCAAGAGTCTGGCCCCAGAGCCTACACATGATGCACTGTAGTTTAACCCTCCTCAAAGGGCTAGAAGACATAAAGAACTGGTGTGTTGAATGAAATATACTCTTACAGTACTATTATTTCACATACCTTATTAAAAAATAAAGTGCCCCAAGCATGTTCTAATTAGTAGTATGCCCCTAAAGTCTGATTGGCATTGAAATATTCAAGGGTGAGACACATGGAGAGGCAAAAATATAGCCAAGTTTCTGTGCACACAAACCCCATCCAGGACATCACAATAATATAGCCAGAGATTTTATGTTCCCATTTAAAAACTTCCCAGTTTCAATTACAACCCATTTCAACGAGAAGATTAAAATGAAAGAAAAACACTTCTAACTTCTCTTCAAAGTTTAAAACTGCCATAAAATAGCCAGATATTTAACTTCTTTAAGTAATAAACTTTTTAGTCTTAAGTTAGCCCATTAGTTCAGTCATGTCATTTTATTTTAAATGGCATATGTATTTGTTTACAAGAAATACATTACACTTTACTGTTTTTACAATAAAGGTTACAAAATAAAGAGTTAATAAATAACAAAGTGAAATGATTTAAAATAAAAATGTTTTATATTAAAATATTTTAATTAAAATTAAAAATAAATGAGTGAACACAAGAATATCAGTGTTATACAAATGTAAAGCTCCTACTATGTCCTTTGAGAAATGGTGACTAATGAACAGAAGAAATACATTTCAATTTTTAAATAAATTTATTGATTTGGGGGGGGCGGAGAGAGAGAGAAGTATGGACTGTTGTTCCACTTATCTATGCATTTATTGGTTGCTTCCTGTATATGCCCTAAGAATCGCACAGAAAATTCTGACGTATTGGGATGCTGCTCTAACCACCTAAGTAATCAATCCAGCCAGGGCAAAAAATACATTTTAGTTAGTGTCAGGAAAACCTGAATAAAATCTTTTCCAACATTTTGTGTTTTTGTAACTAACGGGTCTTTTTGAAGGCAGTTACACCAACTTCTCTTACTATCTGAACAAGTTTGTCTGCTTTTTCAAATACTACTGATGTAACTTTATACCCCAAGAAAGCTTTAAGAAAGAGTAATATTTTAACCATCTTAATATTTGAAATTTAGGATGAGGACATGAAAGAATGAACAGCTATTCTCAAGTAAAACAATTACAGTTTAGAAACATTCATTTACTAAATAAGTTCTTTAAAAAAAACAAATAGTATGGATTTAAACTACTGTAGTAGGTAGGGAAAATTAACTTTCTTTACTAACAATGTATCATAAGTATATTTATCAAATTAGTATTATTAATTGCTAAATTTAAAGATAAGCTGATAGAATTTCTAGTTTAAAACCTAGATTTAGAAAGTTTTTTTTATCCTAACTCGAGAACATTTTTCTATTTTTTGTTCAGACAGAGTGTGAAGGAGAGAGAGGAAGAGGAAGAGAGAGAGAAAGAGAGAGAAACATCGATGTGAAAGGGACATATCGAGTGGCTGCCTCCCGCACGACCCAACCAGGGCCGGGGACAAACTGCAACCGAATTAAGTGCCCTTAGCAGGAACCGAACCCGGGCTTCTCTGGACCACAGGCTGATGCTCCAACTGCTGAGCCAAACTGAAAGTTTTGAAGTTTCTATTACATCCCTCAATCACAAATTAAAACCCCTACAATTAACTAGAAAATTATTGAAAAATAACTCGAAATAAGTCACTGTACTGTGTATGGATTATCAAAATCTGAATACAATATCAATGAGATTTTACTACATATTAAGGCCATTAACCAAGTAGAGCTTGGAGCTCAAACATTGCAGATGATCTGGTAGTCTAACAGGCATTTTATAGCTGGAAAAAAAGAGGTGAAATGAGTGTCAGAGTCTGAGACTTATTTCCTAACTCCAAGTGCAGTGTTTTTACTATCTACATTAAGGCTTCTGAAACACTAATCAATGTATAGGATATTATTGTATTGTCATTTACAGGCCAGTCAATTGTTCAATAAACATCTGAGTGCTTTCTGTGTCTGACTATTCCAAGAAGGGAATACATACTCAACTGAAAGAACTCTATGAACACCTCTCACTACAACGTAAGCTCCATGAGGGCAGAGATTCTCGTTTATTTTGTTCACTTTTATTGCCCTGAGCCTACAAAGTACCCGGCAAAGAAATATATTAGAAAAAAAATCAAATGACTGCCATTTAAAAATCATACACTTTCAGGCTTTTAATGGTCATAGAAGTAATTTAAATTTAAAAGTTACACAAGCATAGTCAATAAATGTTACAAGTTTTTAAAAAGTTACAAGTGCCTATAAATAAGATGTTCCCATTTTTTTCACTAAATTTTAAAATAGTGCATAGCCATTTAAAGAGGGTAGAATTACTCTCTGGGTGATGAGATCATAAGTAATTTTTCATTTTGGTTATATGAACTTTCAAATATTTTCTGTAACACACATAGATTCAGTCAATTAGTAAATCCTGCATTCATTCTACGTATTAAAAGGAATAAATCGCCCTGGCCGGTTTGGCTCAGTGGTTAGAGTGTTGGCCTGCGGTACTGAGAGACCCGGGTTCGGTTCCTGTTAAGGGCACGTACCTCGGTTGCAGTTTGTCCCTGGCTCTGGTTGGGTAGTGTGGGTGGCAACCACTTGATGTGTCCCTTGCACGTCTATGTTTCTCTCTCTCTCTCTCTCCCTCCCACTCTATCTGAACAAAAAAATGGAAAAAATGTCCTTGGGTGAGAATAAAAAAAGGAATAAATCAGTATGACATTTTTGTACAAGAACTGAAGCAAAACACCAAAGTAGACTGCAACTCTTTTCATTTGCAAAGAATACAGAAATTTATTAGAAAAACACTCAATTAACAACTTAATGCTTACTTATAAGCATCTAAATGCTTAGAATAGTAGTAACACGTCTCTTTGATTATTCCACATCTCTAAAGCAAGTGGTTACTACAAAATGAAATCCTTTGAAATGAATAATCCCCAGTACATTTTAACAGGCCTTAGAGACACTTCGTGTACTTACCTTCAGATTTTAATTTTGTCAGAACAAAAATCAGGTAGTTGTTAAAATCTGGATATTGATTGAGTTGTTCCAGTTTCTAGAACAAACAGTAGTTAAGGAAATTTCTCAGTGTAATCTAAGAAACAAATTACGTATTTTTAATTTAAAATCAAGAACTCCTTTCCGTGGTATTTTTAGCCTTGCTTTTTTTTTTTTTAACAGAATAAAGTTATCTTATTAAAACCAACAATATGCTATTCCAAGAACACATTAGTGGTTGTGTTAAACTTCTTAGGTACTTTTTGCTGAAATATTAACCTTAATATTTTATATCAATTATACCCAATACAACATAAGCCAAGTTCCACCTTCAGCATGTTCAAAATCGTAAAAATATTTTTCAAAACAATTTCTTTGATTTAAACTTAAAAACCCTAACCCCCTAAATTTTTAACTTAAAAAGTGCTTTTATTATTCATTTGTTTTTTAGAGTTCAAACATTAAGATAAAATGTCATTTATGCACAAGTATATATATCCAATTTTATCACATAAAATAAAACCAGTATTATGCAATTACTATGCTGCAATAGTTCTACAATTGTTTACCACCCTCAAGATCTAATATTTCCAGTGGCCCAAATTTGCAGGTATTTTATTATTTTGGGAGGCAACAGTGACATAATACTGTTTTATCTTTCTTCACGCACTCTTAACCTCTATCACAATTTTAAATAACATCCTTAATTGTATTTTAATATAAAGGAATATTATGTTTTTACTCAATGGACCTAATTGAAAAAAAAATTAAATCCATGATACAAACTCAAAGTACAATGTATTAACTATTACATACTAAATACCCTCAATGTCTAGTGGTCAGAATGTAAATTAACTAGCAAAATCGCTATCTAGAAAAATTTCAAGGTGTGACTACCATCTTTGACCAAGAGAAAAAAAACAACAGTGATTTCTTTTTTTAGTGAATGGCCAAAACTAACAGCATATTGATAGGCTAATCGTTTTTCATAAATATTTCCTGACAAGGTTTACTTTCTCACAACTGGTGCTACCTATACATACTATTATTATAATGGTATTTCAAAAAGTGCTCAAGCCTATACAAAAACAAAAACACTAATCCAATCTTTCCCAGAGAGACACAAAAGAATAAAGTCATTAGGCATTTTGAAAATATAAAGTAATGCGGATTTTAAAAACTGATCGCATCTACTGAAATTTAACTTACTCCTTATGTAGAGGGCATTTAATGCTCCCGGCAAACAGAACACAACTTTAAATTCGATTGTTAGCCCAAGTCCCGTATAAGGCATACAAAAGGTATTTAATAAATACATACTAAAACAAGAAAGTATGATATTCAGTAATATATTAGAAATTAAAATATGGTTTGGGGCTTGGCTAACTTAAGAAAATAATTGTCATTTAATATTTTCAAATCATTAAATATCAACTTCTATCATTCCCAAGAGCCATGACAACACAAATTAAGACTGAGCCATAAAAGGGTTTCGGATGCAAGCTGTAATACACCCCCCAACTATTCTTCTTCCCTTGGTATTAACAGTATTCAAACAAAATGGCTTGTAAAAAAATTTCAAGCAGACCTCCATTTTTAAATGAGCAGCATTATTAACCAAGAGGCTAAGTATTACCTAACCTAGTTAAGATTTTAAGTTACAACAATGTAGTACTTCTTCAAAACGTACCAGTGTTTTCTTTTCAGGTAATTGTGTGTGTGTGTGTGTGTATGTATATGTATGTATGTATATATATATACACACACACACACATATATGTATATATATAAAACTTCCTTTTTGTATTTCAAATTTAAATAAGCCCAAACTACACTAAAAGAGCTTACTTGCCAAATTCCACATTAATTTTGCTGATTAAAAATAAAAATCAAGAGGCTTTTATGCAAAAAAAGCAAATTTTTTTCAGAATTGACTTTGGTCTTAAAATAATAGGGACAAAAGGTTATTTTATGATCAGGTGAGTGAATTTGTTTCCTTTATTGGCTCCAATCAGAATTCACCCGTTGTACACAGTTTAGGGCACTACAGAAAGCATATAAAGCAGATTTTGCTTCTCTTACTCTTTGCCTTTTCTAAAACCATAGCAATAGGACCATTACACGGGCAAACTCCATAATATAAAAGCTGGATAATTGAACAGACAGCCTTGAGCCAAAGATTTAAAAAAAAAAATCTCATTTGGGAGCCAGGGAGCCTGTAACAGGTGTTAGTATAACTGCCCAGGGCTGAGGTCTGAAATTCATCACTTCTAGGTCTCAAACCCTTTTAGGGCAGGGCCTGGAAGTAACCCCAAGCCCAACACCATGTCAGTTCAAACCCCGCGCCAGCTCCTCCCCATTTCTGGCCGGACGCTTAGCGGGCGAACCCCGCCGCTCACAGTGCCTTCCACCTGGCCTCTGGCTCAGCCCGCAGGCCCCACGGCGCCGGGCGCACTGTGTGGGCCGGGGCATCGGGGGTTCGCACCCGGGCCATCCCACCCGCGCCGCTTCCCACCCCCTCGGCAGATCAGCGGTGGGCGGGCCGGGACGTGGCGGCCCGATACGCACATGTCGCGATCGCGGGCGGCGGCCCGGAGTCCAAGCTTCCCGCGGGCCGGAAGTTGGCGGCCCCGGCGGCGTCCGGGACCCGAGCACAAGGGCCGCGTGCGCGGGGCTCCGGGCAGGGCAGCGGGGGTGGCGGGCCTCTTCCCGCAGGCGGGCGGAGGGCGGAGGGATCCAGGGAGCGGGAGGAGGGGGAGGGGCGGTGGGCGCCACCCCGCCGCCGGGAGCGGGCCCGAGCGGGGCGAGCTGCGCGGGCGGCAGCGAGGCCTCGGAAAGGATACTTGTTGCACGGTTCTCTGGATGGTGGTGTCTGGGGACTGGGACTCCTTCAGCAGCTGCAGAATTTGCTGAAGCCCTTGCTCGTCAGGTTTCCACTCATACTCCATTTTGGTTTGCTGCAAATAAAGCCAGACACAGGAAGAGACGGAGTAAATGTTACTCCCCATGCACAGGCCCGAGGGCTTCCCGCGCCGAGCAACCCTTTTCTCCCCGCCCGAACGACCCCTGCGCTCCCCAGACGCCTCGGACCTGTGTGGGCGCCCCAAAGGAATTCTCGGACCGCGAAACCCCGGGGAACTGATCCTGGCAGCTCGGCCGCCAATATCTGCTGCTCCTGCCGCCGCGACCGCCGAGCGCAAGGAGCCGACCAGACTGAGTCACCGCGAATTTGCAATCTGGCCCCTAGATCCGCTCACGGGAGCCCCCTGGGTCCTAATGCCACGCAGTTTTCTCCAACCCAATCCAACTCTAGTTCCGTCCAGATTATTAGTGATTTAATGGCTAATTAAAAGTCAAATCCTTATCAAAACCACCAACCAAACACCCGAAGAGATCTAATTTTCGTTATTATATTTTCAGTTAACATGGTGAAAAATATAGGATGATTGAAATAGGAGAACACACACACACACCCCTAATAATTCCCCTGACAGTTCAACAGTACTTAGTGAGAATAAAAATGTTTACATTTCAATTTGACATATAAACACTAAGTACTAATATTTAGTCTAAAATATTAAAAATGCGTTGCAATCACAACCCACACCTCGATAAATACTAAATGTTGTATTTACATTTGCAGAACTTGATTTAAAAAATGCATTCTTTCCTAAACTTCAACTTTTGAACTCTTATTAAGTGAAATAAATTCCATCTGAAATAACCCCTTTTCACAACTAAGGGTTTTGGGCTGAAGAAAAAACAAAAAAAAAACTGAAATTTACAATTGATAGTGTTTAATTTTATCCAAGTGCTTTTCATACATTTTCTTATTTGATTCTTTCACTGGGGAAGTATTATTTGCCCCATGTGGCAACTATGTGACAAAAGGTCTGAGTAAATTACCATAATTAGTAAAGATTAGGAGGAGAATATAGGTTTCTTAAGCTACTACAAATTGCATCTGCTATAATCCATTAAAATTATTTTATCAATGACAGTTTCATTAAAACTAAATGCTTAAACAAAAACAAAGCTTAAGTATAAAGCATGAATTATTTATAAAAACCAACTGAGTCTGCTGGAGATGATTTTTCATATGGCCCCACTACTGATAGTTTGACAGCTGAAATTAGTCACTTCCTAGTAGGAATACCTTTCTAGTAGGAGTTAAAAAAATTACCTTACTATATACCTATCTCATTAGCATTTTTTCTTTTTCTTTTCACCTTTTCCTCTCTCCTTCTTCACCCTTATTTTCTACTTAATATCCTGTAATCCAGCTTTGTTTACTACCTTCTACAGACTTCCTAAATGACCCAACCCCCCAAAAATGTCATTTAAAATGAAAAAGGACCATCTGAACATAACATCTATTAATAATGTAGTATTTTTATTCCAGTTTTCATAATGTACATTTTGTGTACATTATATTTTAGAATAATGGGAATGTCCTGTTTCTTGCCCAACTTTATATATTAAATAATTATTTAAAGTATTTTCAAAAACATAATAGCATTCCATTGTATTGCTGTGCCATAATTTTAATAAACTTTAACTGACATAAAATATACACAAATCATATCATAAACATACAACTTAGATAGATTTTTATAAAGTGAACACACCTGTGTAACCAATGCCCACATAAGATATAGATGATTCCCGGTACCAAGGTTTCTCTTGTACCCATTCTGTCATCAACCCACCCCCAAGTAATCTCTATAATTTCTATCATTATAGAGTTCTTCCTTTCCCTCTTTTTTCTTTTTTACTCAGAAACTTCTAAAATCCTTCCACACCTTTTTCTATTTTCAAACATATATACAGTTGTAGTCTTTATTTTATTTTATTGATTTGAGAGAGAGAGAAAGGGAGAAATAGGGAGAGATAGAAACATCGATGAGAGACAACATCCACTGGCCGCCTCTTGCATGCCCCCCCACTAGGGATTGGGCCCACAACCTCCGCATGTGCCCTAACTGGGAATTGAACTGGCAACCCTTTGGTGCACGGATCGACGCTCAACCACTGAGCCACATTGGCTGGGCTGTAGTTTTGTTTTTTTTTTTTTTTTTTTGTTTTTTTTTTTTTGTTTTTTTTTAATCCTCACCCGAGGATATTTTTTCCATTTTTTTGTACAGATAGAGTGGGAGGGAGGGAGAGGAAGGGAGAGAGAGAGAGAAACATCGACGTGAAGGGACACATCGAGTGGCTGCCACCCGCACGACCAACCAAGGCCGGGGACAAACTGCAACCAAAGTACGTGCCCTTAGCGGGAACCGAACCCGGGTCTCTCCGGACCGCAGGCTGACGCTCTAACCGCTGAGCCAAACTGGCCAGGGCTGTAGTTTTGTTTTTTAAAGATCATACTATATACTACACACTACACTATTAATTCTATTATTTAAACACATAATATAGCAAGGCCATCATTCGAAGCCAATGCATACAGATTTAACTCACTTTTTTTTTTTTTTTATCCTCACCTGAGGACATCTTTCCATTTTTTGTTCAGATAGAGTGGGAGGGAGGGAGAGACAGAGAGAGAGAGAGAGAGAGAGAGAGAGAGAGAGAGAGAGAGAGAGACATCGATGTGAAAGGGACACATCAAGTGGCTGCCACCCGCACGACCAAACCAGGGCCGGGGACAAACTGCAACCGAGGTACATGCCCTTAGTGGGAACCGAACCCGGGTCTCCCTCGACCGCAGGCCGATGCTCTAACTGCTGAGCGAAACTGGCTAGGGCTTAACTCACATTTTAATAGACCACATTGGTCTTTAGAATTGATAGAAAATAATTTGTTCAACCGTTTCCTGATTGTCGCCCAGGTTGCTTCTATTTTTTTGCCACTACCAACAACACAGCAAAAACCGTTCTGGTACTAATGTTCTACAATGTAGTGGCAACCCAGTGGAATTAATAGGCCCAAAGTATGTATACTTAAATATTTCAAACAGTTAACACCAGATTACTTTCCAAAAACAGTTATGCAATTCACACTCACCAATAATATAAATGTTTCCCATATCTCCACGGCACGTTCCTTTAATTTTTATGTGTAAATCTAATGGGTAAAAATTAAATTTCTCCTGCTACTGGGATGGGGGGTGGGGTGGGTGGGAAACCTAAAAGTGTGAAACTTAGGTATGAGTTGGAGCTGCTATATGGACATCAGCCTGTGGAGGTGACATCTGGATTGCTTATTTAACTCCGTAGTTCCCTTTTGAACGAGAAACTAAAACTGGGGTAAATACCAGCCAAGTCCGAAAGGCATCTTCACCATATCCATCCCAAAGATGACTGCCCCATAATATCATTAACATGCTTCCTTCTTTATCCATGCACTCAAATACATAGAATTCTTTTTCTTTTTAAACAGCTTAGTATTACGACCATTTAATTTGATCAGTCTATGATGATGGGACAGGGAGAACTGAGATAAGCTGTTATCTCATACCTTACTCAAGTCATCTGGAACAAAAGGCTCTCAAAAATATTTGACCGGTAATGTCTTGACAAGAGATCTCAAGCAACTTTGCACTTCCATACTTTTTTTTTAAAATTGTGGTAAAATAAACTCAATTATAAAATTTGGCATTTTAACTATTTTGATTGTACAGTTCAGTGGTATTCAGTACGGTCTCACTTGTGCAATCATCATCACCTCTATCTCTAGAACTTACCAAATTTTAATAACCTTTAAAATTAGATCACAGGGTTATTCAGATAATGTCTGAAGTACTTCAAGCTAACCAAGCACATCAAAACTATGAAGTAGAAATAGTTTAAATAGGCCGTCCCGTGTGGCTCAGTGGATTGAGCATGGTCCCATGGACTGAGAGGTCCCAGTTCAATTCTTGGTCAGGGCACATGTCCAGGTTGCAGGCTTGTTCCCCAGTGTGGCACATGCCGGAGGCATGTTTCTGTCTCATATCGATGTTTCTGTCTCTCTCTCTCTTCCTTTCTCTCTAGTAAAATCAATAAAAACATATTTTAAAAAAATAGTTGAAATAGTAAACTACATCTATATTAATTGAATAGAATATCAAGATTAATATTGGATTTAAAAAAAATAATTTATTCTTTCTTCATGTTGAAGACAGATCTAAATGTTTTGTGTTTTTCTTTTATAAGAATGTTTTTATTGACTTTTTTTCAAGTATTGTCTATACTTTTTATTCACTAATTCAACAATATTTATTGAACAGCTACTATGTGTCATGCATTATTCTTGACTCTAAATTGTATTACCTACTTTTTTTTTATTTTTTAAAATCTTTATTGTTGAATGTATTAAGATGTTCCTCATTTCCCCCCCATTGACCCCCCCCCTCCTCATTCCCACCCCCCTCCCGCCTTTTCCCACACTATTGTCTGTGTCCATTGGTTATGCATATAAGTTCTTTGGTTTATTTCTTCCCACCCTCCAACCTCTTTCCCTTTGAGGTTTGTCAGTCTAGCAATGAATTTGTACTTCTTAATCCCTTCACCACCAACAAAACGTTCTCTGTATCTATGAGAATGTTTCTGTTCTGCCTGTTCATTTTCTTTGTAGATTCCATGGTTGATGGATATGTATTCATTGCCATTTTGTCTGTTCATATATTTTATCTTTTTCTTCAAAAAGACCCTTCATCATTTCATATAATAAGTTTGGTGGTGATAAACTCCTTTAACTTTTTCTTGTCTGGGAAACTCTTTATATGGCCATCGATTCTAAATGACAGCTTTGCAGGACACAGTAATCTTGGTTGTAGGTTCTTGCTTTTCATCACTCTGAATATTTCCTGCCACTCCCTTCTGGCCTGCAAAGTTTCTTTTGAGAAATCAGCTGACAGCCTTATGGGCACTCCCTTGTAGGTAACTAACTGCTTTTCTCTTGCTGCTTGTAAGATTCTCTCTTTGTCTTGAGCCTTTTGCATTTTGATGATGATGTGTCTTGGTGTGGGCCTCTTGGGGTTCATCTTGTTTGGGACTCTCTGTGCTTCCTGGAGTTGTATGTCTGTTTCTTCACTAAGTTAGGAAAGTTTTCTGCCATTATTGTTTCAAACAGGTTTCCGATTTCTTGTTTTCTCTCTTTTCCTTCTGGCACCCCCAAGATGTGAATGTTGGCACACTTGAAGTTGTCCCTGAGGCTCCTTACACTATCCTCATTTTTTTTTTTATTCTTTTTTCTTTTTGCTGTTCTGATTGGGCGTTTTTT